TTTATGTAATAATATATACACACACACAAAACAAGTTGCAATCCGTCCCAAGTAGTCTTCGCCGTCTGATCCGCAATAAGAGCCTTAATTATTGCGGATCAGCCTTATCCAGTTTCCTTTTTTAACGACTTAGTCCTTATTCACCGACTCACTAATCTGAGGCATTTCACCATATGGACGTTTTGCGCTGTTTTCTGAGTAAGCATTGAGTAGCCGTTATGAAAATATCACATTATTCGCAAGAAGAAAAAAAATATAAATAAAAAATCATAAAGCAACAGAGCCTTCGGAATATAGCCTTTATGGTTTAAATGTCTGGTTTTTAAAGTTCAGTAACACAGCCAGCTTCCTACATGGTTTTTCTTTTTTGCAATCCAATGATTTCTTTAGTCAAGGACAGAAAAATAAAAATAAAAATTGGTAGTCAATTAAAACGAATATTATTGTGGTCAAGACAATATTTTCGCCACACTAGTAAAATTGATCAACATCCACGAGAATATTGTATCTGATGATTATAAATATTTATAATATTTGCTTTATTATTGTAGCCAATATTGATAGAGATATTATTATATTTCATGGGATAGCTATCGTTACCGGTAAAAATTGCGACATAATCCTATTCGATATTTATTATTTTGATATTTTCATTTCATTTATAATATTTTCATTCTCCGTAATTATCGTATGCTCGATATTTATTATATATTGTGCATCGTATATTTAATATAATATTCACGATACATCGTGGATACACATTTTAAAAGATCGTTATCCCGATATCTGAAAAAATTTATATTTTACGGCATATGAATTATCGTCCATCTTTACTGAATATTTATAAATCTCTGTAATCTAAATTTATTTCAAAATTTTACTTACATAAGAGTTTAATATAATTTTAAAATTTATTGATATGGTTAACTAAATTGTTTGAGCATTGTTTCTTGTTTTATCCACAGCATATCTGATTGATTTGTTTTACATTTCACCCACTTTTCCTCCTACACCCCATCCAAGTAGCATATTAAATTTTGAAATTAGGAATTAATTTTTTTTAAAAATTAAAAAAAAAAACTACCAATTTTTTATTTTTTATTTGCTCATTTACCAAATTCAATACCTGCTTTAATTCTTTTTTCGTAAAAACTGGAACAGTGCTTTATGGCTTTTAATGCTGCCATCTAGTGGAGTAAATAGTAATATAAAATTAGCAGCTATTGTTTTATTAATATAGAAATTAACAAAAGCTTATTATGGAACAATAATACATAAATTACATATTTTATAAATACTAGCTAATATATATCTTTATACACTACGTATTTAATGCCTAGTAGTAGTAGTAGTCTTAAAGGAAACATTGTTATTAAATTTGCAATGCGTTTGATGCTGTGGTGCTGCCATCTAGTTTCAAGTAGTGTGATTGTTAAAGAATTTTTATGAATTTTAAAATTGCTTTGCTCAAAAAAAATTAAAACCTTTCCTTAAAATATATATTTATTTTTTTATCTTCCACTTAAAATAATAAAAGAAAATATATACTAGTTACAAAGATTTTATTAATTAAAATTTTTTTTAAATTAAAATTTGAAATATTAAGTTCTTTCGTTTCTCTTTTGTATAATATTGCATACAAAGTTTCCAACATTCGATAAATTTATTGGTGAATTTTAAAAGTTGAGATTTCTCTATTAGCATCTCACTTGCAATCCTTAAAAGTATTTTTAAATTTGTTTCTATTTTTTCTTAATCAAAAAATAAATTTTTTAAAAGGAGGACTAGAAATTTCGTATAAACGATTTTTGTTTGCTCTTTGAGTGAATATATGCATGTGTATCAAAGATTTACGCCTTTTAGAAAAGCTTTGGACTTGTTAAGACTTCTTTTTTTTTCTTCTTGCTTTTAGATATATTGATTAATTTGATAATTTTTAATCCTAGAAAAAGATGCAAACAGCTATATTATTATTAATAACCATTATATAAACTTATGTTTTAAGTAATATTTAAATCGAGCATTTAATAAGAATTTATACACGCTTTTCCTAATTTCAATTACTCTGAATATAATAATAGACTTTAAAATATGTAATACAAACTTCAAATATTTCCGTAAATGTAACTTTATTTTAATATTATCAAAATTTTTTATGTAAATCATACCAAAAAATGACTAATTGATTCTGAGAGGTTAATTGTTCGAATATTTCGCAGCAATGAAATGTCACTGTAAATATTGCTCTCAAATATATAGTTTTAATTAAAAATATAGTTCAAATATGGAGTTCAGTACTAAAATGAAATATAAGTTAAAATTCTATTGCTCTAAAATATTAAATGGTATCTAAAAATATAATTTTGATATGTAATGATGTGCTAAAATATACTTTTAATAATATACTTCAGTTTTTTCGTACTTTTTTTTGGCGTGATAAAAGGTTTTTGTGTCACTGTTGTTAAGATTTTTTAATTTGTTTGTAAAATTTAAAGTAGAAGTCCAAGTTTAATTTTTAAGTATTCAAAGTAATTTTATTTTGCAGATAACAGGCTTTGTGCTCAATGCAGCATTCAGAGTACAACTCAATGGAGTAGTTCGTAGGCTACCTGATTATAAGTAAGAACATAATGTTTTTTCCAACTGTTATTTTAATCGTTCAATCATGTCAAAAATAACAATAAAAAATATTATTTCAGATAATGATTAAAATACTTAAAAATAAATTTTTTAAAATTAAATTAACAATGGGAATGCTTCTTTTTCCTACCAAAAAATAATTTATCTTAGTTCTGGAATTTTTTTTATAATTTTGAAGATATGTAATAAATTGCGTATTGGTAAAATATAATAAATTGTGTAATAAGTTTGTTTATATTTTTCAGAACCTTGCAAAATGTCAAGGAAAATATAGTTCCTGTTCTATGGATGAGTGAAGTAAATAATTTGTCATTTTCTATTATTAATAAATTCAATATAATTAATTAATAAAATATTATAATTAATTACAAATTATTTTTAGAAAATTACTTATTAATATTGTATGTAGTGTTATATTTACTAAAATTATAATTAATTATTAATTGCAGTTAAAATTACATATTAATATTTTATGTAATATTATATTTATAGTATTTAAAATTATAATTAATCATTATATATTACGATTATTAATTAATTATAAATCTTTTTAATTAATATCAATTATCTTCGAATTATTTTCTATTTTTCTTTTAATATAGTATTAATAAAAACAATTTTTTACTTTACAGGAAGCTCAACTTGATGTTTACTTTGCAAATTATTTTAAAACACGAGTTCAAACTCCTATTTTAATGTTCAGAGTAGCATCCATTATAGCTATAGCTTTCGGAGGAACGTGGATTTTAGCTGCCTTTGTATTCACGTTTTGCATCAAAACAAAAGTGAGTGAAATATTACGATTTCTAGTTCTTGCCCTTTTTGCTCACAATAATTTGTACCATAATACTTGGGAGCCACAGGAGGACTAAATAATGATGATTAAATCTGATTATCACCATTTCTTTAAATACACTTCATATGATATTGTAATATTATTTATTTAAATTAAATATGGAATTATTATGAATATTATGTAATAATTAAAGAATTATTTTATTTAACATTTGTTTCTAAAAATTGTTCTTCATTTTAAAAATGAATATTTTTTGTAGTATTTGATATGTTTTCCGAGATGCTTAAAAAAAATGCCTAACACTAATAATATCAAGTTTTTTTAATTACTTGAAATTTTAAAATTTTGAAAACGGTGGTACTTTTTCTGAAAAATTGGCCACTGGGAGAAGTAAATCTTAGAACGGACCACTGACCAGTAGCAAAATATTCTAATTTTGCCTATTTCACATACAGGCGCTTCACTCCCTTGGCACTAATTTCCAATTACCTTTCACGGATTTCCTTTTTAAAATAAAAACACAAGTTTCATTAGCCATAGGAGCCATAGAAACCTACTCTCCTTTGTTGTTTTCAATGTTTTTTTATTTCTTTATTTTTTGTGTTTTTTATTTTTTGCTTTTGAGAAATACATGACAGAATAAATGACAGAGTGAAATAATGATAAAAGCTTTACTCGAATATCTTAAAAACTTATAAAGTTATATCAGAAAATCAAGCAAAAAACTTGTAACGATTACTTCAGTTGTTACAAATAATAGATAAGGTAATGGCGAATGACAGTCAACTTTTTAATCGCCATTTGATATATTAAATCGTCCTCTGGCTAATGGCGGTCGCTACTCTTACCCTATATTACTTCGAACTTTCATTTTGGCAATGATTTTTGAAAGCACTACCGATGAATGAATTTTATTACTGTGGTAAAATTCATGGAACAAAAACCTACTGAGTGGACAAGCCATAAAAAATCTTTTAAAAATTATAAGCTCTATTATTTAAATGGGACGGAGATATTTTTGTACCAAGAAAATATTTTTCTTTATACTATTTATACATACAAAGTAATTTTTAGGCATTTTTGAAACTGAGCTGTAACCTATACCCATAGAAATATCCTATGGGTATAGGTTACAGCTATAGGCAGTTTTCTTATGCATATTCACTATGGTATAACCTATACTATAGTGAATACCCATAGGAAAACCATTTCAGTTCTATCTTATTTAATCGAAGAGTGAATATAAAATGAATTATAAAGAGACCCATCTATGTTCAATAAATTTCACATATGCTGTTGTCATAAAAAAGAAGAAAATTTACTTTTTCTGAAAGAAAGTTTTACAAAAAAATTTTTTTCTCTTTTTCAGATAAGTTACAATCATTTATAAATAATGTAACGTATTTTCATTTAAGTCGATAATGATTTTATTTTCATTTATTTATTCCGAATTTTTACCATAAGATATATAATATGTATGTATTACAATTCACAAATTTTTTCTAACATACTGATGAATTTGCAAAACCTAAACAATTTATATGAAACAGACATAAATTGTAATATAATTATTTGTTCCAGGTTAAACCTGAAACTTTGAAGCATTCAGTATTCTTGAAGACGTTAAATTCTGTCTATACAAGTGTTGCATTATGGCCACCACCTGAAGAAGAAGTTAAAGAAGCTAATGTCAGTGAGAAAACTTATTTATAAAGTAAGTTTAAAATAATTTATCACATATTATATTTATTAATCAGTGGAAAAAATTAAAATCTTGTGGAACTTAATAAAAATTCTGTTCCTTATCACTAAGAAATAAAAATTAATTTTTTCTCAGTGATAAAACACAGTTATAGTTTCTCTACGGTAAGAACTCCTCCCTCCACAAAGTCTGAGGCTGTCTGCTGCTATTTAAGCAAGAATAGCACAATTCAAGGAGGTAAGCTTCTTTTCACTCTTGGGCTAACACAATAGACCGGAGAATTTCTCTAGGCGACTTGAACCAAAACCTGTCATAAACAATGACTCTACACCCCTACTTGAAGTAGTTATAACTCGTTACCATAGTCACCGCCACGGGTCCAGACTAATTGCTAGGGGAGTTCTTACTTTAGACAAACTATAATATTTGTTTGAAACGCCGATTTTTACGAAAAAAGAAACGTGCTTTTTCTTTAAACAAAAATCAATTGAAAAACAAAATCACCCAAAATTTCTTTATAATATTGAATTGTTCGAGAAGTTCATGCCGATGCATACATTATCTTACAAAAACGGCACAAACTTTCTGATTACCCAATACTATATATTAAAAGTTATATAGATAATAATCTAACAACATATCCTTAAACATCTAATAATCATATAATAACAATATACAATAAATGTAGTGTAATTACCAATTATTACCTAACAAATGTTATATAATAAAAAATTATTAAGATTGAAAGAAAAGAGAATATAACTGAGCGTGAACTACAAGTGTATAGAAATCTTAATTCAAAATAATTATATAAAGAAAAGAACAACACAGAAAAAAAAATTAAGAAGACGAAAGTAAAAAAATCATAAAAGTAGGATAAAAAAAAGTTTTTAAAAATGATTGCATATATATATATATATATAAATATATATATATATTGTGATTATTCCTTATAATGTTTCATAAATATTCTACCATTTATAAAACTTTAATATGCGTATAATATATACAAATTTTTATAGTAGATATTAATTTTTATAATATATATTAATTGCATAGTACTCTTGTCACAACTAGTATTTATAATGCAAAACTTAATTCTTTCTTTGAAGAAATACAGTCAAGGCAAAAAAAAAAAAAAAAAAAATTTCATCCTCTCTACTGTATGTATAGTTACATATTAATTTATTCCATATATTTGGTCCGTAAATTAAATTATGAAAGGTTATAAAAATTCTCTAAATTCACTTTAGGTTTAGCTTATTAGTTTTTTTTTTTTTTTAATTTTGAGCATAGTATAAATATTCTTCTTAACGTTCAATATACTTCTTATAAATAAACAAAAAAACTTTTCTGTAAACAAAAAAAAACAAAAAAAAGAAGAAAAAAAAAAGAACACTTAGAAATCATAAATAAAAGAATACGCAAAAGAATAAATTACTTTTATTCATTTTGTAGATAAAGTACGATAGATAGGTTCTATATAGATAGGTTTTGTAGATACGTTCAATGATTGTTTTAAAATATATTTAAAGACATTAAAAAATTCTTAATACATCATATTTTACTCTTTAACAGTTACTCATTAGTGCTTATGAATAGTTTAAATATTTGAATGTCTCAAATTATTCTCGCCATCACTTGTTTATAATATTCATACCATGCTATTTAATGCTCCATACCATACTACTTAGCTATGAAATTTCAGTCATACAATTTAAGCAATTCTAAACCCAATATCAAGCCTTATTTTGTCCTTCTCATAATTAAATTTAAAAACGAATCTTTCAATTAAGGAAGATTAATAAATTTTCGGCATTCTTCGAATATGCTATACATCTTTTTTAACTATGTAGTTATTTTACACATCGATAGATGGCACCACTAAAGTTCCAGAATTTCTATTGAATTTTATACTTATTAATTGTAAATTGAGAAGTAAGCTAATGAAACTAATTGCGTATTGTCGGTTATTAAAGCGACTAAAATAGACATGGCTGTAACTCTTCACTGAATCAAAAATAGCTAATAATTTAATTCTATTACTTATTAACAAATTCAAAATATTTTGATATTTTAGTGGTGCCATCTATTGATTCCCAAATGAACTATACAGTTAAGTGGGGTAGCTAACATATTGGAGATTTTTTACAAATGGACTTTAGGAACGTTTTCTTGTGAGAATTATCGCTTTAAATAATTTTTCTAATTTAACAAAATATGCATTATACGCATGTACATTTTATTGAAGTTAAAGATAAAATGCATAGAGGAAAATCAAGGCAAGATACGTTGGATCCAGAGACATATTAAAGAAGATAAATCCCTCTAGCCAAATTAGCGAAAAAGAAAGCGATGTGTCATTGCTACACATTTGGGGCTTCTCCTACTACTAGCGCCCCGACAGTTTTTGCAACATTTTCCCATTCTTATCATAGCAATTGAAGACTCGCACTATTCAAATTTTTTTTTTATTTGAAATATAAGTAAATAATATTTGAGCTGAATACTCTTAGATGCGTATTTTCAAAATTGAAAATGTTTTAAAAATACCAAAATAAGTACTTTTTTTCTTGTAATGAACATTTACTTTCTATGAAAAGCACTAGATAGCAGCACAAAACTATAATTAACAGTTCCATAAAGTTTTTAACTCGTTGTAATCAAAGATATCGATTTACTATACTATAAAATTTTCTTCTTTATAAAGTTGACTCTTTTTTTCCATGAAAAAATCTTAAAACTATTTTAATGACTCATGAATCATGAATAGCGGGAAAAGCAAGATTCGTACAGTTTATTCTTGGAAGGAATAATGAGAAACTTTAATTTTTATCTCTGTCACTTGAGAGCAGCATCAGTAAGAGAAGGCAAGCTCGTTTTAAATTTTAGATACGTTTTTAAAGGTGGACTGGTGTTTCTTTTTTACTCCTCCTTGGTTAGATCAAAGTAAACCACCCAGAAGATATTCCACTTGGCAAAATCCCCTGAAAAGTGCTTTTCCACTCATCATTTTGTTCTACCTCTAAAATGCTCATAAAACCTTAGATTAGGTAGGTTTATGAAGCGTCACATATTGGATGAATATTTTATTGTATTTGATTCTATTGTAAAAACGTGGACTCACAAGTTTAAATAATCATCGAGTGCATTTGAATTTCTTTTAAAATCATTTATTAGTTTAAAAATTCCCCTGCATAATTTTTAAAACTTCTACTGATTGAACTTTTTTATAAACTGAATGTACATAGTTTTTAAATAGCTATTTTTATCTATTTTCAAGGTACTCTGTAGCTATTGGCATTCATTTTCCTGGCCACCAAAGATATTAGAATGGACTAACTCTCGAGCATTTTGATGAGTAACAATCATCTTTCATCTTATAATTTAACCATCAAAGAATTATTCATCCTCATTCTCACAACGAGAAGCTCATCAATTTTACTCAAAAATTATACCTGTCCCATTAAAGCCGGAATTTTGATGTCTAGTCCACTGGAACCTCAAAACGACAGTATTTGTAAGTTTAAATATGCTGCTGACTAGGACACCACCAAAAGACAATCACTTTTATATAGTTACACAAGCTCAAACCCACACTTATATTAAAAATTGATATCGACTTTTTATGATAAAAACTATTTAATATATATTTTTTTATTTAACAATATTCCAGCCATTTTGAAATATCCGCACTCATTAACTTTATACCCCCCTTTTTAATATATTATCATTTAACTGACATTTTCTTGAACTATAATAATAAAAAACATTCGATTTATATTATATTTTAATAGATATTGGGAAATAGAAAGATACGAATATATCAGCGACTAAAGAAAAATAAGTTGTGTTAAAATTGTATATAAAGTTTAGGTATTTTGATAATAACTGATGACATCACCTTTAAATTTGCTGAGTCAATTCATAGATGATTTTCTATAACAGTGGTTACCAACTGGCGGTCCGAGGGCCGCATACGGCCCTCGAAGCCTTTTTTCGTGGAGCTAAATTTGACGAACTAAAATATATTAGTTTTTTTTCCCGGACAATTTTTGTAAGAAATCTATATGGGTTTAAAATACTTTTCTTTTGCTAAAAACAACTAATTTCTTCGTTGTTATTTCCTTCTGTGAAATTTATCATACCAACGATGCAAAAAAATTTTTTCTCTGGTTTTGCATCCAAAAAATGTTTATTCAAGAAAATATTTATTATTATTTGTAATTCAATACTTTTGTTTTGTACAACTTGATAAAAATCTGACAGTAATATTTATATTTTTTTCAAACATAAAAGAGTCCGATATAAAATTCTGACGAAGTTGCGGCCCGCCATTTGACTGGTGTTTTTAATTATGGCCCCCGGTCTCATGTAAGTTGGAAACCCCTGTTCTAAAAAGTATAACTATTCTATGAAAAGGACCACAGCAAGTAGTATTCTGAACAAAAAAGAACAGATGGAGAGATTTTAAAGCGTGCCATCTTCAAATAAACGCAGCTGATGGGAATCATCTATAAATTGAAGTAGCAAATTTAACGATGTCGCTAATAAATCTATAATTATTGTATTATATCAGCTTTTGTTGAAAATATTATTGTGTCCATTATTATTTAGTAGTTATACAAATTAAATGCGCGAAAAACAATAAATTATTCTACATTTTTTCTCCGTAAAATTAAACAAAAAAAAAATCCTCGTTGAAGCCTGCAGAAATTCTTTCCATAAGCATGATTTTCTTGAAATCGCGTTTTTCAACGGAATACGTAGTTGTAGTTATATTTTAATAAAAAGAAACAATACTTTTCTGTACTAATATTTTTTTTTCCTACTTTACGATATTCTCAAGTTTCTAGCATTAGAACTTTTGAGTCAAAACAAGTTATTTAAATCCTTTTTTTCTCTTCGTAATATTGCCAATTGTACGCAGTTGCAACTAAGTGATGGGTACGTAAAATACGTTCGAATATATTCACATATTGTGGGTTCGTAGATTATTTATATGCATAAAAAAACTTCTTATAAATAATGATTGCTTAAAGCTTGCCTTTTTTACATATTCTTTCCCATTATTCTACTCTATTGAGAAAAAGTATAAATGAAAATAGTCACTCGTAAGAGAAGAACATTTTAGACTAAATAAACCTAAAATATAACATTATTCGACCAAGATTCATAAATAATAGTTCGACGAAGCTTCGAGTTAATTGCAAATAGGGAAGCTTCAGAATCAGTCAATAACAATTTGATTTAACTTTAAACAAAACTATTGTAGCATTATAATCTCATTAATTAATGCATTGAAATGTCTTATTTCTAATTAAATGAGTTGTTTTATTCGTTAAGATATCATATTTCCGAGTCATTTTGTTCATAATTATAATATTATCTAATCGTTTTTAATTTTAAGTTTTCCTTCATAACTGCTAAGCAAAGAATAAAATGCTTGGAGCGTGTTGGAACTGTTTAAATTTGCTTCAACCTTAATGTAGTGAAATGACGTCCCTGTGTTGCATATATTGGAGACGAAGCAGGTAAACTTCAACGGTGCTTTTATGAAGGCAGGCAGTATATTTTTGTGTTAAGTGTTATTTTGAATAAATGTCTGTGATTCACGTTTTTAACTCATTCATTTGATATCATTATTACTATTTTTGTGATAATGAGTTGATTTCGTTACTATTAAATGTGTAGGAAGATTTATCATCCATCTATTTGTCAAAATATTTTTTCTGTTAGTCTGCTTAAAAAATGTTTTCTTCGAAATCTCGTTGTATTGTATTGTGGATTTTTTCTTCCTTTCTGTGGTGGACTGTTAGTCAAAGTTCGTTTGTTTTAAATGATGTAATTTTCCTACATTCCATGATAATGTTGTTATTCTTTTTTTTAAAGAAATTTTGTTATATATTATGTAATGATGCATTAAATAAATGCTTAAATGTTTTCTGTAAATGTAATAACTACTTAAGTGTTTGTGTTTGTACTTGTACGCAATGGAACATCGGGTTTTTATTACATTATTGAAAGTATTGTAATTCATTGCGTATAGTAAATTACATTATGATTTTGCTCAAATTTATGTTATGCATGAGTATTTAGACTTAGATGAATAACCAATATTATTTTTAAGTTTCAGTTAACGTAAATAGCTTTTTTAATTTTTTTAAAAAAATAAATAAAATCAAACTAGTGTAAACTCTTTGTACTTGTGAAATGAAATGCTCCTGTTCGCAGTATTTTCTATACATGTTTCGGTATATTGTAATTTTTAGTAGCATTTATTTATCTTAAATATTTTACGAGGTATTTCATTTTAGCTATAAACTGTAGCTACAAACTTACAAGTCATACAGTTTAAAGCTAAAAATGAATATTTAATTGCAAAATGTTAAGTAAAATTGTTGTAAAAAATAGCCTTTAATTTTCATCATTTCATTAAAAGTTTTGAAGATATTATTGGGTTATTCAGACCATTCGTTCTGATTATTTTTTTTGGTTTCTTGAAAATACATCGGAATGATATATTTTGTTTACAAACGATATGAGTACATATTCAATTCGGAAAAATAATCCTTCCTGTTAGACCAATTATTGACAGCAAATTATCAAGAAATTGTAAATTAGAAGGATCTTTGACAACTCAGCAATTGTTAACAGAGCACTATTAGGATATTTTACCCTACCCACCATACACACAAGGCTCTCAGGTTTCCAGTGATTTAGATCTTTAAAATATTTGAACTGAAAACATTCAACTCTTTTGCCAGGATAAAATTTACAACAAGATGCTTTTTTTGCTGAAAAGCCTGAACATTTTTGAAAGAGCAGCTTTTCTGTAAGAACAAAATGCACTCATAAAATTGAATAAATTTATACCAAAATTCAAACGTACTACGTTTCATTTTTCTTTCGAAATTGGCGCGAATTTTCCGAATAACCCTACATTAGAATCAATCAATTAGCAATGAGTATCATTAACTGTCTCAATTTTATTCTGAATTGAACTGCATTAATTTCACATATACGCCATAAGTTTTAGTTATAACAATATATAAGTGCTATTAGAAGTTAATCTGAATTTGTATATCTAGAGGAACTTTGAATCAAAATATAATTTTTGATGAAGCAGATTCCTATTGTAAATATATATAAGCTGATTGTATAAATACAAAATTTTATTCAATGCTACGGGTCGGGCTATTGCAAAATGATTTGCTGAAATTACATTTCAGTATTTTAAGATAGAACATATTAGAATAAACTGTATAAACTTGTAGTATTTATTTTTGCTTACCAAAACAAATATCAAAAGATGCATTTATACTATTATTTGTTCCTTTATTTATGAACTTTTATGTTTGTATTTTCTATGAAAAGTGAATGTGCCTTGCGTCTTTATAACTGTGGAAATAAAATTTTAATTAATAATGGTTTCGCACTGATTTTTTATTATCATGAGCTCACAAATGATTAGTGTAAGGTGCATGTTATCCCAGATAACACAGATTGTCCCTGAGATGTCATAAAAAAGTCAGAAGAGGTCACAGCCGTCACAGGTGTGACCGTTTTGAATTGTCCCAAGGAGGTCATACTGTGACTTGGATGTTATTCTGTCTTGTGACATCACATAAAAGATTACATACATATTTATAGAGACTTTTTGTCACATAGTAGTCATAAATATACTTTACTGAGAAGCTTTTTTGCCACTTTGATCCCTTGAAAGTCACATGACTCGTCTTTCTAAAGTTACGCGGCTATTTTTTGCGACTTTTATCACTAAGGTTAGTCCAGTTACTTGAAAGTCTTGCCAGCAGATTTTCGCAAATTCTTAAAATTAAATATGTGAATCACAATAGAGTCACGAATAGTCACAACAATTACATTCAGAAGTATCTTTTTAATCTAATCAATGGCTCCCAAGGCCTCTCAATATGATAAAAAAAAATTTGAAGTTTCCGTAAACGTGTTTGTTAAAAATAAAATAACGTCCACAGCATCAGAAAAAAAAAGGTTTTACTAAAAAAAGATTTTATTAAAAAAAAAATTTAAATTTAACCCTTGTCTAAATTACCGAACATTATTTAAATAAATCTATTTTAATATTATCTTTTTAAAAAAAGAATTTAAATGTCTTTTCCTTCTGTTTTTAAAATAGATGTATACACTTGCATTTTCCTTAAGATACACGATAAAAATTTCAATTCCTGCATAACTGTTATAGCCACAAACAGTCTTGATAAGATTTATTTTATTCAAAAATATTGTTGCAGAGGTGAAAAAATAAAGTTTTTTTACGAACAAAATCATAAACAACAAAAACATCAAAACGAACAAAAACATTGTTGTAATCTTTTGATTTTAAATAAAATGGTTTATGGTTTATTCTACTTATTTATTCTATGCTTTATTCATTTGAACTAATATTGATCATGTTTGCTCTACAAAGATTTATTTTCAGGAAAAATGAAGAAAAATATTCAATAGAATATGAAGAGCTTTGCATCTAAGTACATATTCTGTTCAGACACTTTTACATTTTTAAAATAATTCGTAACTTAAAATGCAAATAATAATTTGCAAAAAAATAATTAGATGCAGTTTGCAAAAATAAATTACTGCAAATTATAATTTGCAATAATTTTCAAAAGCATGAACATCTAAGTATTAGTTAACAAAAAGCAAACGATTTTAAATCAAACGTGAACCATAGCTGCTCTCCTTTTTTTTAATTGTTTTCTCTCTCTGCCTCTTTTTTTTTTAACTCCTCCCCCCCAAGGATTGGCTAAAATTCAGAAAGTTGATGCTTTGATGCCCTTAAAATTGTACGTATAATCGTCTGTGAAATATGTGTTAAAAGATTAAAATTCATTAAATTGTGTTAAAAACGATGAAAACGATTATAAAAGCTTTTGTTTTATAAACGCTTTGTTCTACTTACATTAAAAGTTATATGTTTGCTGCTAATTTTTGATTATGTTCAGTTACTAAGTTGTAATGTATTATTTGGTAAAAAAGAACGAGAATACGGATATTAAGCCAGATCTGTAAAAATGGTTGTTGATTTTGACATCGTTCGTTTAAATCGATATTCGAGGAACCCATATGATAATCCTGACAGCGATTATATCACCAAAAATTGAATATTTCAAAATAAGTGATCAATTTTGTTGAATGTTGAATGCAAACTCGAAAAAAAATTTGATCCTTTTATAGTTTTGTTAATAGACATTGTATTCTAAGCCTGTGATTTTAAGAAATTTGCGAATTCGCCGTGGTTATTTCAAAAACAAAAAATGATTTCTCAACTTCATAAGTTCCAAAAGGAGACAAAGGAGGAGACAACAAAAAGAGAGGAAATAAAAGGGGTGAGTCTTACTTATTTCGTTTTCTTGCATATAGCCTCTTATAATAGCGAATAAGTTAGAAATTTGTGATTTAAGGTTAATTCAATTAAGTTAGTGTTTTAAGCTTGATGATTAAAGAAAATTGATATGATTTGAATTCATTTTCATTGTTCGTTTTCTATTTATCTTTAATTTCTGTTTAAAAGTTCTTTCGTTTTCGAATACTTATTGCGCGTTTGTTTTTGAATGCTAGTCAATGTTATTTCATTTTGATCACATTTTTTTAAAGTTAGTTTTCCCCATCACGATACGGAAATCTGTTGCGCATTTTTTTAAAAATATTTTAGGCATTTTTTTCCCACTAAATACAACATTTTTGAGCGGTTTAGAAGTCAAAATATTTTAATTTTCATTCCAATTCTAAATCATGTTTTTTTATTTGCAAATGTTTACTGGGTCCGTTTAAAATTATTTTAATGGCTCAATTTTGCAATTCTCATTAAACACAATTATTTATTTAACGTTATTAGAAATAAATTTTTAGCACTCTCATATCTGATTTTTCAAAATGAAATATGCTCGTTAGTATGTAGTTCCAGATATCTATACCTTAGAAGCATAATTTTTAAATGTCGTAAGCCTATATATCCTTGCAGACGCAAATAACTGTATAAAATTTAAATCTTTTTACAAGCGGTTTTTAGAAAGAAAAAAGGGGTATCGTTTTATAAATACTAATTTCCTGTTAAAATTCATTAGTATTTTTTAATTTCCCATTTCTGTTCTGAATTATAATGCTTATTGATTGCCTAGTAAACTATGTAGTATATTTCTGCAATGAATATGTGTAGCAACATTTAAAATAATTGAAAATAAAAAACTCAATTCTAGAGTTTAAACTCCATATATTAATTCTTAAAATGCGTTCAAATTGAAATGCTTCAAAAATAAAATAAATGAGCAGATTGCTTTGAAAATAAATTTAAAAATTAGTTAAACAACGAATATTCAGTAGTCTGCTCAAAAGCAGAGTAGTATTCACTTTAAATAAAATTTTTAAATTTTAAATTTAAATGTTATAGCAAAGTTTTTTTTCATTGTAACAATTTGGTAACTTTACAGTATTCTTCTTAGGATTTACTTATATGAAATTTTTATTGTGAGAAGTTAGTCCTTTATAAATTTATAAATGAATTATATCAGCTTTTGTTTTAATGAAAAGAAAATTAATAAAAACAAAATTACTATTTATAATTTCTGAAAAAAATTAGCATTAAAAAAAGGTAAGGAGTTGGAAAAAAATTTACAAAATATTTTTTTTTAACTATCTGTTAAATATAATTTTATAACAAATATATTTGATAATTTTTGGTATCTTCGATTTCGTAAAGTTTCTTCCGTTTTTTTTCACTATCTTCCGGACATGATTATAACTGATTATGACAATCCAACAACTAAAACTCGTTAAACAGTGAGAGGGAATTATAAGAAACCATTCAAATCTTCTTCTGATAAAATATTTGAGTCTTCAAAAGCTGGAAATTTTTTCATGTTAGAAAATTTTTACGTGTGAGAATTTTTTTTAATTTTATTCTTCCGAAAAACTCCCATAGACTAAAAAATCATAAAAAATAAAATCTTTTTTTCATAAGAAATCTTAGATATGGCACTTATTTTAATGACCAGATAGACTAATTTTCAAAAGAAATAGCTAGAACAGTTTTTACAATACTTATTTTCATATGTGAGTCAATTAGTCACACGAGTCTGGTTTTCACATGTTACCCACTGAATCATATAGTATCACAATAATTTAAATTACTACTTTTTATCCTACTATTTATTTATTTTCGTCTACTAATTTGAGTTTACAAACATTATAGACGGATCATTTTACAAAATGAAATTTCGTGATTCATTAATTGTTGAAGAATTGTTTAACTCGAAATGAATGTTGAAGGATGACTCACCGGAAAGGAAATGTTTTTACTGTTATTATTCCTTTGTTTTTCAAGAAACTTGACTTATTGTTTTTAGTGATAAGAGAACAGGTGACATTTAAAAACGAACATTTTAGAATTTTTCAAATTAGATTGCTTTGAAATTCATTAATTTTTTACAAATAGTTCAGCTTAATTTTGAAATATGATAAATTAAAGAAACTTTTTTTTATCGTTGCAATTTCATGACTATATTATTTTGGGTGGAGAAATGGGAGAATATTGATGAAAAAAATGCATGTCATTTCTGCAGAAATTGGTAGATTAAAAAATCTTCTAAACTTTTGTAGATATTTGTATTTAAACTCAATAATTATTGTTAAAAAATGTTTCATTCTAAACCTAAGAACTGCAGATATTGCTAATTCGACCATAAAAGTAGGAAGAAAAAACTTGTATTGTTCAAAACATGCAAGTTCTAATTCGCTAACAAAAATGCGAACATTTGAATTTTTTTATATTTTTTGCTTGTACTGACCACAGTGCTGACGTGAAATATCCTCAGTGGTAGACGGATGATGGGTTGCGATTCTCTTGCAGACAGGCCAACCGTGGGAGGTTCTCCTGGTCTTCCTCTCCATATAACGCAAATGCGGCTTAGTTCCATCAAAAAGTCCTCCACGAAGGCAAATTTCTTCCTATACTTGAACCCAGGAGTTCCCGTGGTATCTGGATCGGGTTCAAAATGTCAAGGCTTTGGAGTTCAACATTATCAGTCGTAAACCAAAAATTCGCCGGCTGTTCAATGACTGTTATAAAATAAAATGTACTCCTTACAAGAGCAGTGTTGGTGCAGGGAATAGAGCACACACCTCCCAATCAGGTGACCCAGGTTCTAATCCCAGCGTTGGCTGTTCGATATGAATTCTGAACGCGGCTAGCACTGACCACGGAGAAGATGCAGAACAGCCTCAGTGGTAGATAGATCATGCGTTCGAGTCCCCTTACTGTTGGGCTAACCATGCGAGGTTTGAGGGTTTCCTCTCCATGTAACACAAATGTGAATTAGCTTCATCAAAAAGTATTCCATGAAGGCCAGTTTCTCCCAAAGCTTGATGCAGGAGTTCAGTAGAGTTCAAAATTACAAGTTGAACATTGGCTGAACTCAGAATTGGGTTGGTTGTTCAATGCGGTTAAAATACTCATCAGAAAGTGTTACCATCAAAAACATAGACACAATTAGCATCTTTCTTAGTGCGGCTAGTTCACATAGTACTGTAGATTTCTATTATAGGTCGAAGCATTTTAAAAAATCATCCCTTTTTAGTACATCAAAAGATTCATTTTTGTGAACAAAATCAAGAAACCTAATATTGTACAAACATTTTTATTCCAAGAACAACCATACAAAAATCTGCTTTTACAAGTAGTCAATACAAAGTTATGGCTCATGTTTTAAATAGATTAGAAAATATTAATATACAAAAATAATTATCCTCGATTGGCACTATGTTTTTTTTTTCTTTTATTGAAATAATTCGGAAAAAATATTGAGCTATTAAAGAAGCTTCATAGAGCCTGCTACAAGCTTAGTTAAAGTCCTTAAAAATTTAACAATTCAAAAGATTTCTTCATTAAAATAACTTAAAGCAAGATTAATTTATAATAAAAAAATACTTAATTAGGAATAAGTTAAACACAAAGGCTTACATATATATAGTTTGAAATGCATTTTGATATAAATAAAAAAACGATATTTTACAAAAACCTTTTAATTTTTTGAAGAAATTAAATTTTTATTTCAATTTTTTTTGCAGCTTGTTGCTAATCTGAGTTACAAAGATTTGAATTAACATGATTTTTCTTTGAATAAAAAGTTCTATAAAAACATTAGTTTGGTAATTTTAAAAAAATGCAAAAATAAATTTGACATATAAATTAAAAATATTATTACAGAAATAAATTAAAACAGTAAATAAGAAAAATATATAGTTTTACGAGACGCATCCTTTAAAAAAATACGTATAAAACATTCTACAACTTTATACGGATATCAAAATATTCAACATCTAAATTTTCAATATAACTATTAAAAATGGATAGGTAAAATATTCTAAGAGCATAGATAAATAGTTACAAATACAGATAGTAAAGACTCTTATTACAATGGTGTCACAGAAAATAAGACTACAAAAAAAGTTTTATAGAAAGCAAGAATCACTACAGCTTTAAAATGAAATGCACAGACACAGATTTCATTTTAATGGTTTGTGAGATATCTGCTTAAAATTATTTCCCTTAAAATTCCTTATGGTCATATTACACTTAAAAAATGACAAAACTGTAAAGCAATTGTCCTGTTGATAAAGATGAAAGCATGATTAAGGTCACTTTGATGGCATATGTAAAGTGAAGACTTGCTGGTGAAGCAATTATCTAAATGATAAATTTGGTTTTCGCCTTTGAAAAGGGACTTCTATTTGACTAGGTTTATCTGAAATGAGAATGACAATGAATGAAGTTTATTAAAATAAAACTTAATTTAGGAAGTAAGAGAAACAAAATACTGCAACATCTATATATTGTAAAAAATAAATCATAATGATTATGAACAATTAAAACAGCAAGTTTCATTGAAAATAGAATAATGAACATTAGTATCATTGATTTAAACTATAAGTTTAATTTAAAATCAAATGTATAGTAGGGTAAACCAGCCAGTGAAGGAACACTACCCAGTGAAGGAACATTTCATATATATTGATTAAAAATCAGAATTTGAAAGTTTTTCTTTAGATTGATTGGTAACAATAGATTACTGCCAAACAATAGGAAGTCATCTAGCAATGTTTTGGATTACCTGGTCACATAGACTTCTCTGGAAATTTTTTTAAATTTGTTATTATCTCTGCAACACCTTGTTTCTTTGAAAAAACGTTTTATTTTTTTTAAGCATGATAGCATAATAAAGTACTGAGATAAGGAGGTGTTTATTCACTGGATCATCAAACGATGAAAAACCAGTGAAGGAACAAGTATTCCTTTACTGGTTTTTTTTTAAGTTAATGAAAATGAAAGATAAGCTTTAATTTTCTTGTACCTTTAGTGATGTTTTGCATCAAAAGTATATTAAAAATACAAAAAACAACTTCTAACCAGTGAAGAAACAGGCATGTTCCTTTACTGGGCATAGATTTTTCAGTGACTGAACAGCATGTGTTAATATGTTGACACTATACTTTTCAATTCATGATTACAAAAAAAAGTTACTTTTTTCCAAGTATTTGTAGGTTATAATTTCAAGAATAGGCTTGTTTTTAGATATTTGCACGGCATAAAATTCATAAAGAGCATTAAAAAATAACCAAAGTTAAGTGTTCCTTTACTGTGAAGTTTTGTGTTCCTTCCCTGGTAAGAGCTGTTCCTTCACTTGGTCTTCTTACTACTTGTTATTTGAACCTCCAAAACTTTAAAACAATATTATGTAAGTTCTCTACAATTTTTTTCGCTTAATTTGCATTTAGTAACAAATATGTTGACACTGTCATTTAACTAAAATGACGAATTTTGAAATTAATATGATTTTTTAAAAGGCAAGCGAAGCTTAAGTGTTCCTTCACTGGTTAGTTTACCCTATACACAGTTCAAAATCGAGTTATCGCGAAATCAGAAAAAAACTAATAACTTTTCATTTAATGACTTTTTTGCATGGAAGATGCCATATGCCACTCAAAATGTCCCGATGAGTTTTAGTTTTGTAAACATTTTCCAGTACATTTAGTGGAAAAACTTCAATTCACTTTTGCTTTTATTTAAAAAGTTTTTATAATTTTTTTTTAAATATAAATACATGTTCTTGGCGTGATGCCAAGAATATCACACGTCTCTTGCTATCATTAATAGTTTAAATTTAGTGTTATAAAATTGGGTAAAACAAGTTTATTCAAGTATTTTTCAAATGAGTGCTTACATTACTGAAAGAAATTTTAGAAATTATAAAGAATATCTTCATTATCAAAGAGATTTTTTTTTACATATTCGTATAATATTTTATTTGTGATAGACATCCAGGTTACGAAACAACTTAATCCTTTCGAAGGCCGTGGTAAGTATACTTACCAAATTTTTTAGTCCATGTTAACTTTTCTTCCACTTTTAATTTAGGTATCCATTTGCTAATTACTTCAGCTTTCTTGAAGTGCGTTTGAATAAAGTTGGCAACCATTTTTTAATGTAAGAAAACTTATAAAAGCTATAAAATGCATAATTCCTACTGAAGTTTGTAGCATTTATAAAATTTATTTTATAAAATTTTATAAATAAAGAGAAATAAAAGTCAATAGGTTCCTAATAGGTTGTAAATATATTTACCCCCAAATAAATGGCATTAAAATTTTAAAAAAAATTTATAAGCTAAATGAGTTTTTCCTTTATTATGTCAATTACTATTCTTATATGAATTTAAACTCCAAAAATTCTTTAATTTATTCTTACTAGAAGTAAATGGCCCACCAAAGTGTTAAGAACTCCTTTATAAAGGTGTTTTCTTTCTAAGTTTTCAATATTTTACTTTGAGGGTATGAGAAGTGTAGCTAAAAATGTGGCGCAAATATTTGAAGCTTTTTTTAACGTTTTGATTTCTTACTCTATCTTTGGAACTAAACACCAGAAGCTTGAATTAAAACTGTTCTATTTGAATCATTTACCTAGAGTTAATTTAATGCAAATTTTTTTAAAAAAAAATTAATGAAACAAAGTTGTAATTTCGAACAAAAAAACAAACAAAATATTGAGAGAAAAAGAAAACTTACGGTTTGAATAGCCTTTAACTTTTTATTCTCTCATCTGCTTTTGTTGGAACAACCTTGTATTTACTTTTGAGGACAGCTGACGCAGTTTTTTGTTCCTAAAATATAAACAGAAAATTAAAGTTTACATTCAAAACCATTCTAGAAAAATAAAGATAAAAGTAAACAATTATGTATTTAGGTCATACAAAATTGAACGACAAATGCTACCACAGAATGGAATACATTTTATTAACAAAAAAAAAAACTGTTTATGAGTTAGATATAATCCCCGGACAACTTAATGTACTTGTACTTTGGCTGAGTTGACTAGGATTATGATCATAAGGAATCCCTTCTATATAATCCCTTATGATCATAAGGTCGTCTGCAGACCACCTACTCGCTAATGCATACAATATTGAAACACAATGCTCATGTTGGCCCCATGAATTATTGCTATTGAATATTATACACCTTTTCGCAAAGATGAAACCCGTCACCACTTCCAGATTTGCTATTTGTATGCAATATTGCTGACGAATCTTCGTTGAATAGCTTTACTCTGTTAGTGGTCGTCTCTGTATGCATGCTTCGTTCCCATACACCGATCCATTCGACAATGGAGGAAGTAATATAAAAAAATAAAATAAATACCCTGCCGTCCTTCCCTTCATTGACAGTGATAATCAGTATCCACACTGAATCAAGTCGACAAAATGGGTGGCTTTGTCTCTTACAGCTCATCTGTACCCATCGCAATCTATACATTTCGCGTAACCTATACTCCCCTTATTCGTTTGGTTAAATAACTATTATATAAGATAAGGAATAGTTTACAATAATTACTATCTAGGGACTTCAGTGAACTGCTGCATATGAAAAATAATCGTCAAACACATACAGCTATAGATTTCATACCGTGGGTCGGAATTAAAAGAAAAAAATCGATGCCTAATACTAATTCTGACTTTAAGCAGAAGATCCACTTAAAACTAACTATACAATTTTTATATCTTCGCTCGACACTTTAAGAATTCAGGCCAGGGTTGAAAGGACGCATTTTAAACTATGGCAATTGAGAAAACATTGTACAGTAGGGAACCGATTATCCGGAACGATCGGGACCATCGCCATTCCGGATAACTGATTTTTCCGGTTTTAAATCCTAAAATCTTATATGGAAAAAAAATTGTTTTTAAATGGCGGGAAAATTTAACGAATTTTGTTCCGGTTTTTTGGTTTTCCGGTTTTCTGATTTCCGGATAACGGGTTCTGTACTGTAATACTCTAATTTACAGAGGACTATTACAACAATATCTTATCAGTCTTACTTTCAAATAATAAACCTTGTCAACTAGCGATTGTTTGACAAATAATTACCATGAAATGAATTTCCAGTTACGGGTAGTGACACTTTGGCTAAGACTGGCTTTTTTATCCTCTAGTTAGCTATGACAGTGTTTAGAGAATTGCTGGTGTTTGATCATCAAGACAAGAATAAACATTCCCAATAGAGGAGTTAATAACTTTATCAGTGTCTCTAGCTTTAGAATAAAAACATTCTCGCACAGATTCAGTTTTGTAGATCATTCATGTCAGGCTAACGGCATGTGGAAAAGATCTGGACTAGTTCCGGATTCAGCAGCAGTTAAAGCTGTTAAAAATCCTCGTCATTTTGAGTTTCTGAACTATTATGGAATGCCAGTCAAAAACTGGTGTTCATTTCTAAATCAGATGTGAAATTAAAAAAAATGTTAGAAAGTATTTAAATTTTTTCAACTAAAGCAGGGTAATAGAAAACTTGTCTTGAAAGTTCACCGATTTTAAAATAAAAAATTTCAAGAAAAACTAATTTGATTATTTAATTATGTATTTTCAATGGATCTTAATAACTCACTGAATCATTTGAAACTATTACGGGTCATTCCAATTATAAAGTAAATCATTATTAGCTAATAAAATGGGTAATAGTTTATCAGATTGATAGATATTTTTTTCATTTAGTATTATTTGCGAATAATTAAAAAGAGTAAATTAGTATTTGTATCTGATGCAGAAATAGATTCTAAGAAATAGATTGCAAAATCTATTACCCATATTGATAGCATTTTTTAAAAAAAATTCAAAACTGGCATACCTTTACAAGGATATAGATTGTACCAATTCCAGCAGTCACAATCCACAATATTCCGAGCACAATACAAGCCGTTAATACAGACTTAGCAATTGTAATAGGCGTCCGAACCTTTGCAGTAAATAGTGCTGCATTTTTACTGTCAATCATAGCTTCCTGAAAATTAACGCTATTTTAATAAGAGATGAAAATAGATGCAGCATGATATTTTTTCAACCATAAAAAAATTTATCAGAAATAATGAAAACTGCTAAGTTTATTTTATTAAAAATTTTTTCAGTCTTTTTGCAATTTACTTAAAATGTAGTTAATTTATAACAATTTTATAAAATTAAGCGTGTTTTTCTCTCATTAGTAACGTTAGTTTTGGTAGAATAGAGGTCTCGAAAAATAGATACAAAAACAATAATTTTTTTTGGTGAAGTTTTAAGCATCTAATAATTATTTTAAGGTAAACAAATACGATTCGAGGAGATGAATTTAACATAGTTAGCAAACTCAAAGATTAAAACCATCGTGTCTTAAACGCTTAAAAATTCTGTCTATTATAAACATTTCATTTAAGCAATGCTAAAAAATTAAATAGAAAACTTAATGACAAACTATTATAAAATGTTGATATTTGTCTAAAAGTATAAAAAATTATAATTGGTTTTAATCCTTCTATCTCAGACTGTTCACTATTAGATATTTTAATGTGATTTTATGTTACAGTCCCTGGCCAAATTATTAGATGCACTGTAATATTCTGTGTAAAATCTTAATTATCAGGTGATAATATACAGCTTTATTGCTTTCACTCGGCTGAAACCGGTTTGCACTTGCTTACGCTCGTTCGTGTATCAATTATTAAATTAGACGATATATAATATAAATTCGATAATTTGATGAATTCGAATATATATAATATAAATATAGAATAATTATTATATTAGTATATTATAATAATTAGACCAACTTATAAAACGCACTGATGTGTTTTAATGATTGCACGTTTTGCACGAATTTATATGCAAGACTTTATTTAAACATACATGTAATGGGTTTTTATTCAGGAGATTTTTCATATACTTCCTATTTGTATTTATTTTTAACGAATTGCATTACAATGTTAACCAATTTAAACACGAATGTAAACAAGTGCAAACTGGTTTCAGCAGCCGTAAGAACAATAAAGCTGTTTAGTATCACCTAATAATTTAGATTTTACATAGAATCTTACAGTGCGTCCTATAATTTGCCAAGGGACTGTATATGCTAAAAAGGAGAAAATGTCATTAACTCCTTCATGTAGAAAATAAAATAACTTATTAATCTTTAAAATATATTTTAAAAAGAAACACTCTTTAATTGTTCAAACTGTTTTGAACATGAAGTGTAAATTTTTATTGATATTTGATTACGTTATGTAGCATTATTATATTTTAAAATTAATTGTTTAATATAAACTGAAAAATTAAATTAATAGTGGGATTTCATTTAAACTCTGATCTATTTAAGATTAAATAGTAAAAACTTTTTCTGGCAACAAGAACATATGGAGTTTAAAAATTACTCAAAATTACCACTGTCCAAAGTATTGATTTTGGAGTACTTCAGCACACATTTGGCTATGAATTCTGCGCATACAAAACCTCAAGTATGATTTGAAACATCCATTAAACTCCTAGCAATTGCGCAGGGTGCTACAATAAATATGTGGCATCCTGCTTTATAGCTTTGCTTATAAAAATAAGGTTTTTAAGTATTAAGTGGAAATCTTAGAAGAATTTATCTAATATATGCTGATAAAAATTAGAGCTAACTAGTATTCACACGCAAAATCAGGCACAAAAATGTAGTTAAAGATATCAGGATAAACAGATAAACTTTAACTAATCGTTACAAACATATAAACCTATGTTCCTCGCCAAAAATTTTCTTATAACTATTTGATGCTTTTTTTTTATAAAGGTCCGAAATATAAGCTGCAATGTATCACTTTACATAAATTTAAACAGTAATTTTTAATGACAATTTACAAAAATTAAAAATCAGCCGAAAAGCTCTTGCGAAATAGAAATTTAAAAAATCCAGCTTTGACTCAAATTTTGTAGATTGAAATTTTATATTTTTTGTTGTACTAAAAAGAACTAATATTTTATGAAAAAATTACTTTTATCTTACCTCGGTTACCCACAACAAAGGCACCACGGAAAATGGAAGGTTCTGGAAATCTCTGAAAAATTAAAAAGTTTTCAAAAAATGTTTATCCCCAAAATTTTATAAGTTATTTGTGAGAAAAAATTCTTTTATTAACTAACTAAATTTAACTAAGTAATGGACGCTGGGATTTTTCGTTATTCATTAACATAAGTTTCTTTTTTTTTTGCCGATTTTCATGATCTGACTTCTTGCAGAAACCGGTAATAGTTAAATCTAATGTAACTTGGATTCTTCTGATATTTTCAAATTTTATTTGAATAGAGGACCAATTATATCTTTGTTTATTTTGACATTTTATAAAAGGCATCTTCCATTTTGAATTAGATAAAATTTTCATTTTGTTGAGCTTTCCTCTCAAACTTCTGATTCGATAGCACTTTAAGAGACTTTCATCACAAAATGTCAGATCCACACAAAAGTGCAAAATTCTCAAAGTAGCAATGAATTGTAGTTAAATTATAAAATTATTTATATATATGCAGTAATTTGCATTCAAGCATCTCTAAACTGAAGAGTTTTATTACTTTTAAAAGTGAAAATGCAATTTATTTTCCATATTTATATTTTATTACAATTCAGAACTATGAGAACTAACTGTATAAAAAGGTAATAAAATTATAACATTTTCATACACGGTAACATATAGAATTTCCCTTTTTGCGAATTAGTAAGTAAACTGGTGTCGGACTACGGTTTTACATTGTTTGAGAACTACTACTACGGTTTTCGCATAGTTTAAGAAAAAAAGGTTAAAGTGCTTAGATTTTAATAAATAAGCATTTTGTCCCTCACCAAACACAATTTAAACAGATACATATAAAATAAACAGATATACAAATAAATGCTTAAGTTCTAATAATTTTTTTAAAAAATCTGTTACAAAAAATTCTGCTTTACTTCAATACCATTTAAAAAGATTCGAAATTATGTTGAAGTCGTTGTAGCAGTTAGTCTGGTGTAAAATGGAAATTGATTTATTCATGCAATCAAATAATATACTATTCATCATAATAATGGAGGCACGCAGCACCATACCTTTAATAACAGGAGGCAAATAAAAGTCAGTTTATTAAATTACGATAACTAACGTTTCTGTGAAATATTTTTCCTTAAAAATCTAAAGCAATAAGTTATAAAGAGATTAGATATTGTAAAATGTAAGAGAGATGCTAAAGTATTACTAATTAAACTGTACGCCAAAGGCTTATTTTTCAAAAAAAAAAAATCTTATTTTTATCAAAAGTTTTGTAAGTTAAATTAAACAATTCTTCTCAAATTTTAACATTTCAATAATAACTCATATTTTACACATGCAACTTTCTTTTAATGATGACATAAATCATTTCAAATTTATGCAGACAATACGTTGCTTAATATATGAATAATAAAGATTTAAATTTTACATATATTTTATTGTTGAATCAGGGATATGTAAAATTGCTTGGGCCAACCGAAAAATTTCTCTAACTTCATTGAAACTTTTTTTATATCAATCATGTTATCATTAACTAAAAAGCAATTTCAATAGTAAATATTTATTTTTGTAAAATATATTGATCATTTTTCTAAAATATTTATTCAAACAAATAAATGCTAAGTAAGTAGTATGAAAGTTGTTCCAATATTAACGGTTATATATTTTGTTTTAAAAAAAATCAGTAAAAATGTAATTAAAAAAATAATTAAAATCAATAAGCAAATTAGCATTGTAGCGAAAGAAGTTGTGAAAATTTGACAATTCATTATCAAAGTTGCCTAACAATTAATATCCACTTTCATTACACGCAGTACATTACCTTCATTACTGTTGTCAGAGATTAAGATGTAATATTCTTTCTTCATTTTAGTAATGATTTGTTATTATACTGTGTTGTTATATTTATCTTTTACTAATAAACGCATAGAAATCTATTAAACTTACTCCATTTCTGAGTAGCTCTTTAAAATGAAATTCATTTGAAGTTTTCTTGAAGCTCCAAGAACAATGCCAGTTTTCTGAAAATGGAAAAATAAATTTAATGGCTCATTTGAAAAAATCCTTATCAAAAATGCTTTTTTTTTTAAATCATCACGTTCATATAGGATATTTTGAATTAAACTGACATTTTAAAAATAGCACAAAAAATTACGGTTCAAAAATAATAAATAAAATTAAAAAATGCTCACAGAAGCTTATGCTACAGCTTCCTGGAAGAGTTTTTAATTCAAAAAGTTTAACGGATGGCGTTGGTTTGTTAATTTCGATTGTTCTTAAAGCTGCGGAATGCTAATTTCGATTTCCGTTTAAGATATGTAATTGCAATGGTTATACTTTTCAAAATATTTTAATTTGATTTCCATTTATTAAGAAGATTGAAAGTGATTTTCAAATATTTCTTTGATTTACAGGTTTATTAGGTTTAAACTAAAACCAGTAAACCTAAGTGGGGACATTTATGTCTTATTTGTCAAAAGAATTTTTAAAAACTGTTATATTTAGAACCATCCATTTTCGGAAACCCTGTGTTTTAAGAGCAAGGATAGATGGACAAAAAAAAAATCACTTAATTTAAAAATAAAGCATTCTATTATTTAAATGAATAATTATTAACTAAAATATTATTTTAATGAAGGAGTAGTGCTGGGAATGAGGAATGTTGATTCGACTTTCTGGGCTATCTATGTTCCAAATCATCTCAAAGATGTTCTATGAGATTTAGACTGGGGCTCTGAGAAAGTCAGTACAGTTTTTGAACACACTCTTTGTCAAACGACTGAAACTAAATTCGAAGTACTGGTTTCCGATAAATTTTTTCGAAAAAATGTCTGCTTCCTAATTCAACTATAACGTTACGAACGTTTGTCACGTGACCAGTACGATAGTTTGACTTCTATGTTAAAACGAACTATTTTTGACTAATCATAAAGCAGATATTCTCCGTTTAATAGCGGTGGTGGTGAGAAGCCATAAAAACTTGATTATATGCTACTAACACTCCGTGATAATTTTATGTAAATAATACGCTGTTTGAACAATGATATACTAGTTTTCATTTAAAAGATTAAAATATTTCAAATTACTTAATAGCATTTATAGAAAAATTTCGGGACTGAAGTTCACAGTTATGATTCAATCTTCATCATTAGTCACTTTAATTCATGTTTCTTGTATTATTTATTACTTATAAAAATAAATTACCAATATTAATTATCATCTTCGACAAGGTAATTGCAATTATATCAGCTCTTGATACAGACTTACGTTTTCTAATTTGGTTAGATGTATTTTTTGATGCATAATTTTTAAAAGATTGGAAATTACAAATTATTATCCAAGGCAAATGGTAAAAAGTACTTTTATCATAGTTTAAAATATGTAATAAGAGCTTAAAATGCTAATAAAGAATCTTAAAAATTAAAACTAATTATTGTATCTAAAATTGTTTTAAATTTAAAAAAAATTTTTTTTTAATACTTTGAAATATTTAAAGAGTAATATTTTGAATAATTACAGCACAAATACCGATGATAAGATCAGAACTTCGCGAGCAGGCGCCTATTCGAAAGTCAATTAAAAATTCTTCTTGAACTCTAAGTTGAGAAAACTCATGAAATTTTTCAGTGACGGAGAGTATATCACGCCATGACCTGCCTTAAGAGATAAGTTTCTCCGACGGGTAACCTTTTTACTGCGATAGTGACCTTACGTTACAGTTGAATTAGGAAACCGGTGATTAATTGCGATCGAACACAATCAATAACCATGGTTGATCGAAAAAGCTCGAAGTAATCAAATTGATAGGAAGATAAAATCTTGGTTGTACGTTACAAATACTCCTTGAAAATTTTTTGTAAATAATACGCTGATTGAACTATGGTAGGCCAGATTTTAAATAAAAGATGATATTTCGCATTACTTATTAGTATTTATAAAATAATTTCTGGATTGAAACCCAGAGTTATGATCCAGCTCTTCATCAGCAGTAGCTTTTAATTCATTTTGGTTATTTATTACTTTTAAAAATAAATTATCAATATTTGATTAATTATCCTTTTCTACAAATAATTGCATTATCTAATTACACTACACGATATAGACTTACGTTTTCTAATCTAGTTATATTTTTTGAAGCCTAAGTATTTTGAAATTGCAAAAATATTAGAAAGTACAAATTATTTTCCAAGACAGACGGTAAAAAGTACTTTTATCATAGTTTAAAATTTATCATGCGCAATCTTAAGAGCTTAAGTGTAATAAAGAGAACGTTAAAAAAGAAAACTAGTTATCATTGTATCCGAAATCATTTAAAGTAACTATTCTAATTTAAACTAACTATTTAATTCTATTTTAAAAAGAGTTTTTAGATTCGAAAATCAGAGACCCAAAACCCATAGTTGGAAAAGCGTATAAATTTTTTCATTGACTGAGAGTATATTACGCCATGACCTGCCAAGACCAAGAGACAAGTTTCTTCGACGAGCAACTTTTACTTCGATAGCTTCCTAATGTTAGTTAAATTAATGAAACCAGCCACCATCGAATAGCGATCGAACGGGTTCGAAGAAGCGTGTTAAAGTTGCATAAGGTTGTAAGACAACGAAATTAGAAACTTGGAAACTGATCTTTCTTATTTGCTGTCCCAAACTTGCCCAGAAAGCTAGCTAAACTTTAAAAAGAAATGAATTCAGCGAGATAGTTACCGGCTCGATATCAACATAAGTTTCGTGTTTTTCTCTCTCTGGTTTCAATCCATGTACTCTCTCTTGAATCGATTCGTGAGCCAAGTAAAAGTGCGGCCCGGTGACAGCAAGTTTTAATCCTGGAACAAAAAATATTGTAAGTTTATATTTCCTCACAAAATTAAACGTAAATATTGAAAGTAATGTTAATCAAAAATGAAAAAAACAAAACAGCAAAGTTTTTTTTATAAGATTGGATGGTTAATTTAAGGATTGTTTTAACCAAACTTCGATGCAAGTTGAATTCTTGTTGCACAACAGAGTCCTTTATGAACTATTTAATCAAAGCTCCCGTCCCGTAAGGCGTTAGCATGTATTTTTGTTCGTTTTAAGTTTTCGTCCTGTTATTATCTGCTCAGATTTGGACAGAATGCTGAAGGATCAAACACTGGCTACAATCTAACCGTCTTTTCGTGTGTCTGAAGTTTGCTTAATAGAAGTGCACCGAAATTTAAGAGCAGTGCTCCCCAAACTTCTGATTCATCGTGAACCAGTTAACGTTTGAGAATTTTACCCTCTGAGGGGGGAGGGGACAATGATTGTTTCGATGTGGTTAGCAACTAACGACATCAATCAATACACTTAAATTCCGGAGCCATTTTCCGCCTTGCCAGCGTTTCCCTTTGAATAAAACAAAGCGTAGATTCTTTATCAAGTGCAACCTTCATAATCTGAGCAGTTAAACCAAGCAGTTGTCCTGTCAATTCTGCAATTCCATCTGTGCATATGCAGGCACAAAAGGACCACTTTAGTTGTCCCGATGTATCCAACGATTTGAATTGTNTGAGGGGGGGGGGCGATGATTGTTTCGATGTGGTTAGTAACTAACGACATCAATCAATACACTTAAATTCCGGAGGCATTTTCCGGCTTGCCAGTATTTCCCTTTGAATATGACAAAGCGTAGATTCTTTATGAAGTACAACCTCCTTAATCTGAGCAGTTAATCCAAGCAGTTGTCCTGTCAATTCTGCAATTCCATATGTGCATATGCAGGCACAAAAGGACCACTTTAGTTGTCCCGATGTATCCAACGATTTGAATTGTTCTGCTTTTGTGGTGTTTGCTAGCAAAAATAGTGCATATAACAAATCCTCATGCGCATCCTCTTGAAATACGTATGTCACATAAATAAGTATTGACTTGTTTTTGATATCTGTAGATTCATCAACCTAGAGTAGAGTGCGACCTATGTTCGTGTATTAATCCTCTCCAACAATTGTATATCAACTTCTTCGGCTATTTCCTCAATGCGCTTAGTCATAGTGCTAGCCGACAATATTTTCTACAGCAGCCTAGAAGTTTAAGGCTCTGAACTTCTAGGAGGGGGGAAGAAAAATCCTTAGTGGAGGGAAAGATATATTCTTCACCGAAAATTAATGGCTTTTTAGCTTTAGTAACACAGTTAGGTACTAAATATGATGCTCTCAGAGTATTTTCGTTAGTGATGTGGTGGTACCATAAATTTCTTCTGTCCTTTCTGTTCTAGCTTTCTTCTTTCAAAATACTCCAAGGTGCGTGGTGTTCAAGTAGTGAATCAGTTTTGAAGGTTTCATTGCCTCATTAGAAAGCTAATAGTTGCAAACTATTATGTAGAGTGGTTTTGGTGAGTAGGAATCATCTGACCCGATAAATTCATAATTCAAGTCGGACTCATGATAATATCTGTAAAAAGTTGCATGTTTCTTTGATGTCAAAGTCTCTTCTGACTCATTTTTTTTAAAAAAAAAAAATTCTAACGACGTCTGTTTCACTAACTTTTTCTAATTTGTAGGTTAAATTTGAACAAACAATATGAACGTACATCAAGCACTGTTAAAAATGAGAAAGTATCGGTCAACAGAAAAAAAATTACACACGAGCTACAACGCAACTGCCGCTTGCAGCTACTCTGGGCTCATTTCCGCAGGTCCCCTAATCAAACTGCTTTAATATCAAAATAGTTTGTTTACGTGGTGTCTGTGCGTCTTTAGGTTACGTCTCTCAGCTTCCTGTTAACCTTGTCTATGGAAAGTCACACAAACCCGAGAGAAATTCACCATAGTGAATAAAATGGAAATGTTATGTTCCTTGAGTAGCCCGGTACCATTTGATTCACGAAACGGTACCATTGTTCAGAACGGTACAGATTAGAAATGACTGCTATTGAGGATTATATTTTGATTTTAAGGTTACTCAGAGTTGTTTTAAAAAAACCTGGAAAATTAAATCTAAACGAGTTTTAATGGTTTGTGTCGGTTATTATCTTTACACAATTAACTGTTGTGCACACTTGCAATGGCGTTACTAAAAGAAAATCTGAAAAATAAATGGTTCCAAGAGTTATATCCTCCCTGTTATCTTTTGAAAAGACGTTAGAGAGCGTAGTTTTTGTATTATAATTTTAGTTGTTTTAATGTTTCTTTGAAATATGTTCAGCTAAAAAACAAAACTCTGTAGTTCAATATTGTGAGTTAGATGAGATTTTGATACAAATATCAAAATCAAATGTTTTAATGAAACATTTGACGTACTTTTTTTATAATTTATTGAGATTTGAAATTATTTCCAGTGCAAAATTCCATATTTATTTCTTATTTGATCCTAAAAAATTTTTTCGAAGTTCTTATATACACACAAGAGAGTGCAGAAATAATATTGCAAAATCTTGCTGATTTCAGTTTTCTCCTGGTATTATTAAACATAACAGTAAAAAACTATTTTATAAATTGAAATAAATTTGTATTAATTCATAATATTTCAAAGATTTTAATATTTCATTAACCCCTATTATATAATATTAATATTCCACCAATTCTTTAATAATCAGTTAAGAAAAATGTATACTATCATCAGTGATACAATCTGCATATCTTTAATTAAAAAAAATAAAAAGTGGCAAATAATTTAATCGATGGTCAATTTTTCTCATAATCTGTTCTATGGATAATCTAAAAGTTCTCTTAATTATGATTATTTGTGGATTCTTAGAGATCTTTCATTCTAGGGTTAAATATTAAATTATTTCACTTTTTGTTTTGAAATTGCAAGTATATATTACCTTTCCTGCAAGGTGAGACGTCTAAAATTCCACTAAGGTGACAGAATTCTTTTTCGGTACAATAACAGATGTTATCAGGGTTGTTTATTGGACTCTCGAACAAATAATCCGGTGTCACAAACCTGAGAGCTGGGATGCCTTGTACAGCTACATCTTCCGAGAACACTAAGGAAACTGATCTGTGAAAGAAAATAATCGTTAATCATTTAAAAGAAATGGATATAAAGAATCAATACATTTCTCACACTTTCCTATCAGTTCAAGTCACTCGAGGTTTAAGGTTCACAGGTAATTTTTTCATACAAAACAATGGCGTTGAAAGGAATATAAATTTGGCGATCATGCATAACTGGCGATCATTCTCATAAACTGGCGATCATACATAGAGAAAATATACAGTTCACATATAGAAGCTTATAAAAATGCCATTTTAAAACTTAAAATCTCTTTTTTTTCGACGAAAAAGGCTACAATCTCTTGTTGCAAGTTAATTGAATTTTTTTTAAATATTTAGATAGGAAATTTTTGTACTGAAATATTTATCATCGATTAAGAAGGCACGATAAAAGCTATATTCTTAGATCTACATGTCCTTCTTTTAAACTAACATAGCATTCTAACTTTATATTTCTTTACTGAATGCAACTTAAATCATTAGAACTCGTAGACTTTTCAGAATTTCAAGTCCATTTACTGTGCTTAATTTATTAAAAGATTTTTTCTGGTCAAATATTCCGGTTTCACAATGAAATAAAAGTTTTTGAACCAAAAAATTTTGTTTTAAATGCTTACATATAATCAAAGATTAATTTTGAAGTTAAAAAAATTTCACACTTAGAATTTTTTTTAAAAAAAATGAAATTTTACGTATAGGTCTCCCGGCATCTGCATAAAAAATGGTCACGAGAAAGCTTCCGGACTGTCTATACTGTGCCGAACATAAATGACATTAAGACTAAGAAAATAGATCTGGTAGTGTTAAAAAAATTAAAAAAAAAAGGCTATTCTAATGACAGGTAAGAGTCTGCTATAAACAAAGCCTATTTCAGAAATACATCTTATTTCAATATATAAAACGACAGGGTGTTTTATTTTTACTTAAACATGCACTGCAAAAAAATTCTGAAACGTTTTTGAATATATGAGGCAGCTACGGTGCATGTAATTTTCAAAAATGTTTCTGAATACTATTTTGGAAATCTTTGACCCTGATTCGGAGTCGATAAGATTCAGTTTCGTACTTTTGAAAAAAAAGTGCTTCTAAATTGATCGAAAACGTGCTATTTAAATGAAGTTCTCTGAAATATTCGGAAACATTTTTGTCTGCTCTACATTAGTTTCTGAAATTTTTGACAGTGTATTTTTATTCTTATGACACTAAAAGTTTATACCTACCTACACAACTCTGGTGTGTATACATATAGAATATCACGCTTCTGAATTGGAGGTGGGAACTGGGATCCATCTAAAAAAATGTTCAATTCAAATGAGCAACTAAAAAATGTTCTATTCAAATGAGCAAATGAGCAATTAAAATGTTTAAATAAAAAATAAAACATTAACTTTTTTTTTCTTCCCATGACCTCCTGATTGACACTGATTGTCATTCAAGTATCAGAAGGGCTGATTTCCTAGTCACACTTTCAGGGGCACCGTATTATAAGGTCCAATGTGTCTCCCACTGTAAGGACAGATAGTGTGCAGATAAAGAACATTCATTCCTTGTCTGGGATTCGAACCCAGGACCAGGTTAGCTCCCTGACCCCTACACAGTCCGGTCGGTAAATTTTAAAATTTTATAAGCCATAATTTAAATTCCTTAAAACGATTTGCAAAAAGTTTAAAAATGGCACAGAAATATGTTTATGCAATCAGTATTTATAAGTTTTTTGAAGTTTTGTTAAAAAAAATTGCGATTATATCATGTAGGTGAGTGGATAAGGAGTCTCATAATAGGTGGGGTCCAAAAAGTATGTAAAATCTCTTAACGGAATTGCAGAAAATTAACTTCTGATAACCTATGTATGTAAAATCTTAAAACTCAGGATTTATATCTTTTTAAACTTCAATATGGATGCGAAAATTAAGCACAAAATGCTAATAATAGTTCAATGCCAATTGATAGAATAGTTCAATGCCAATTGATAGAATAGTTCAATGCTAATTGATTGAATAGTTCAATGCTAATTGATTGAATAGTTCAATGCTAATTGATTGAATAGTTCAATGCTAATTCGCCAATTAAAAACGTTCAACGATTGCAAAACAACGTGTTGATATTATCTGCCCAACCTATCAAATTTTATTATTAAATACAACAGCTCTATGATTTTATTATAATTCAAGTTAAGCGAGACATTATTTTATGAGTATTTCTATCCAATTTGATTGATTACTTTCATAGTTATCTACTTTGAGCTAAAGTGTGAAATCAAATAAAAAATACGTTTGCTTAAGCATTAAATAAAAATATGCATTTCATATATAAAATATTCATCTAAACATAAAATAGTGAAAATGCGTATAAAATCATTAAATTAGTTTCATAAACAATCACAGAGATGCATCATCGCAGGATTACTGTCTAAATTAGTGTTTTTTTTCTTTATACACATGTGCGCATACAAACATATGCATACACACATGTTCAGCTAATATTTTGTATGATAACTATTTAAAATACTAAAAAAAAAGTAACTACCGATAAACAATTGCTAATTTCAGTCTTAAGTAGCCCTGCCCTTACTTATCAACTTGTCCCAACTGTGTAAATATATAATTTCTTACGATTTTAATTACTGTAATTCAATTAGGCCACCCTTAGACGCATACGTATGGTTATCAAGTCAAATACTCTATTAATTAGAGTGGAATATTTTGATATATTTTTACATCTAAATTGGACAGAAGAAACTGAGGAAAAATAGAATAACAATGAAATAGTGAATACTTGAACATTTTTGCCTAAAACTGAACTATATTTCGAATAAAATTTGTAGCTCTATTTTGATGTTTCAAATATTACAAGTAGGTAACTAATTGAAGACTTCTTGTACAAATATGCATTATTTAAAAATTCTTAATAAAAAAAAAAAAGTCAAATTAATCGAAGAAAAATATTTCACTTACCCGTTCCATTCATCATATTGCAGTATTCGTTACCCCAAAACGGAATTCTCCTGAAAGTTTAAAATACCATGTTTTAAATAAGCTTACACATTTTGAAGATTTTTTTAAAATTAATATATTCGTACATTTAATGCATGCTTAGTCTCAAAAATCCAATTGATTTAAAAAAAAAACAATAAATAGCTGTTGTTGGTAATAGCTCGCAGCAATTTGAATCCATTCGACAGTCATGCAGTTCACCAATTAACTGTAACCGAATAAACTTATAGGCTGAAGTGTTTAGAGACTTAAAAGTTTCTGATTAATCTATAAATTTTAATCTACATATCTATTTGATACACATTTTCACGAAAAAAGTCAGATTTGCATCTATGGTTGTCATACATTTTTTAACATTAACGAAATAAATGCTGCATATTGCGATTTGTAATCCTAATTTTTGTCGATAAGCAGAAGAAGAATTTTAAAGAATTTGAAATTACTTATACACTTGAAATTGTGGGACTAAATCAAAACGCTATTTAATATTAGGACAAATCAACTATTGAGATATTTTTTTTTGAGTGAAACCATTGACATTTATTCCTTTTGTTTACAGGTTAAGTAATATTTAATTTGTGTTAAAAATATTAATATTATTCGCATCAGATTTGCTAAAAATTTTATTTCTACAGCATATCTTTGTGAACATTAAAAAGGTCTGGACAGTCTATTAAGTTACATTAGTTCACAGGTTAAATTATTCATAATTTTTGGACCTTGACGCAGTAGATAAGGTTAAAATCTAATTTATAAGGATTAAACCCTCTAGAAAACAACATAATTACTTACGACATATTATTCCATTGGACAATCTGAGAGTACTTAGCAATATTATCGAGACCTGTGTATACAGTAAAAATTCCATCACCAGAATTATTTTTCTGTAAGAACATTTCAGAAATCAGTGTTTCATAGAATAAACTTAAGTATTTTAATAAATCAATTATAAAATATTTTATTACTATGAATTTAAACTTACGCCATAAAGGAAACCAAAAGTATTATTTGGTAATATCTCAGGTACTGTTACAAAAGCACTTGCTAAATCTACAAGATCCTGAATGAGATCAACTTTATACCCTTCAAATAACAGTTCTTTAGCTGTTCGGTGAGAGAAGACGTGTTCTTCATAATTTTTAAGAATACCTTCTAAACCAGGAATTATTAAGCTTCTAGGAAAATAAGGCAATTTCTTTATAAACATCAAAATACCCTGAAAGAAAAATTAGTTTCAATAAATAGACAATTATACTGCATGAAATTAAAAGCTTGAAACAAGTACAGTTAATTGCGTATTAGGATAGTTCAGTTTAGCAAAAAATTATGAGAATTTAAAGGTTAAACGAAATCTCTAGTTTTTATAAAATTGGAAAAAAAGAAAGATCTTTAGATCTAATTTTCAAAAATTTAGATCCCCTGATCTTAGTGTGTACGATTCCTTTTGGGAGAACAACTTAACCTTTTCGGGACGGGTGAGTCAAATATATTCATGTGGAATCAGAAACAGGATTAAAAAAAAAGAAAGAGCGGTGGCTTAAGTTTGGGTGTGGCTAATTTGACAACCTTATTTTTGTTTTCACTTTAAATCTTATGCATCCAATCTATGTTTGTTATAAGTGTAACTACATAATTTTTAATTTCAATTAAGTCTTGATGAATTAAATAAAACTATTATTACCCTGCCACAAATAAATTGCTGTAAAAATAGTTTGGCTATCAGTTTTATCTTTTTCACCGTGATTATAGCCACCCTGAGAATGCATATATGACTCACTCATCTCGAAGAGGCTAAAGCAAGGAATAATGCATGCGTCCTGCAATCATCCATAAACAAACACAAGATCAAAACCAAAATTATTTAATTTCTTAATTTAAACGAATGTGGAGCCTTTCTTATGTCTTGTCCAAAAAGTAAAGGGGCAATATGAAATTTTGTTATGAAAACAAATTGCATAGTCATCTCAAAATTTTCCATTTTTCTGTACCTTCCTATATTAAACTGGAAAGATTCATTATCGCATTCAAGCAGAAGTTAATTTTTTCCAGTAATATTTTATGCAATATTAAATGGTTTGATACAAAATGGAAAATTTCTAAAAATATATTTGTTGAATGAAAATGAATTTAAAAATAAATGCATCTAGACATCATGAAAAATAAAAGTTGCATTATAAATTGATTTATTTTATATCGAAAAAAAAATATTTTGTAATTTCATAATGCATTTTAAATCATTCCTGAAATAGGAATCTTGGGCACAAGTGTATTAATAAAAGATAATACAAACAGAAACAGGAATTTATTTTTAAAAAAAGCAATTTGAGGAAGAGAAATAAATTTAGATATTAAAATCAATGAAATCACATTTTATTCGATGAGCCTAATCAAAGCTTAGAAAATAATGCATAAAATGGACACTATTTTCAGAATTATTTTTCCTTACGATTTCATATTTCCTCATGGAGCAAAGTAGTTAAATTCAAACTACAAGTAAATAAATTCAATTAGCATCCAGCTTGAAATTAATTTATTTAAACCTTTTTTTTGCGGAGGGAAGATTAAAACTAATTTCAAAATTTACTTATTTTAAGAAATTGGTCATAAACTTCAACTTCTGTGCTTATAAATAAACGAAATAAGAAATTTCGTGTTTATAACTACATATAAATTATAGGAAGCGACAAAATAAATGAACGAATGATGCAAAAAAAAAAAGAAAAAAAAACTAGCATTGGCCTCTCTTCTTGACCCGATGCAAATCTTGAATGCTATCAACATTATATAAACAAAGCTCCTCGTTTTAATTATTATTTCCTGAAATCATCTGCTCAAATAATAGGTGGAAAGATAGCTTCCCACCTAAAAAAAAAGTCCAATTATGCTGGTGGAGAGTATACTTTTCAGGGGACATTAGTTAATACTTGTACAGTTAATTTTGTTAGGGTTGTAGTTAAGTTAGGCTGAGTGCTATAAATCAAGACAGGCACAAAAATACGGAGAAAAAAAAGGTTTTCAGATATGCAAATTCATGGAACCATGGAATTCATGGAATGTAAAACGTTTTTTAGGGGATTTCTTTATGGTTTCAAGTTCCTTTCTTGAATTCCTAGATTGATCACCAACGTTGAACAAGACCAGCTCTCGTAGATCCCCGTGTAAACCTGTTCCGGAGGCACCGATCAACTCCATCGAGGTGTGGCAGTATTGCTAGGAAAACAGCCCGCCACCTAACAGAGGGTCCCTCCATCCTTTCGCCGTAAGAAACCCTCCGCTCCCAAAAAATACATTTCTCCTTGTTTCTCTCCACTCATTTAAGCAGCTGATAAAAAGTGACTCAAAAGCCTTTGCTCTTTGCAGACTTATATAGTTTGGAAAAAGGTTAATTTATTAAACAAGGAAAATATTTACTTGTGACGAATTCATTAAAAATAAATATAATTTATTATTTTAACATGGGTGTATAATTTAAAGATAATCTGTATTTTGACCCAAATTCTAGTTTCCTTTAGTGCCGTTAGTTTCCTTTCTTCTTTACTCTCGTTTTACTGTTAATGCGAAAGTTTCACAAGTTTATCAGAAACGTTGAACTGTCTCAAAGCAGCGATAAGCAGTTCTCTATTAATGCTGTCATATACCATGTTAAAACCAATAAAAAAATTGAGCGCATAGATTTGAAATTCCGTTGTTTGTTCAAGTATTTGCCATATATTAAATATTAGCTCAATTGTTGATCTATCACTTCAAAATCCACACTAGTAGTCACGAATGATGTTTTAAAGATATACAGTCTATTAAAAAGGATTGCAATCCAGTATTAGTTTAATCCCAAATAATTTAATTCTCTTATTTAAAGAGATTAGACTTACTCTCAACTTTTTGAGGTGAAATACTATTTTATTACTTCGAGAATGGCAGTTAATTCTAGTTTTAAAAGCACGTTTAAGTAATTAAACATGCACATTGAGCAACAAAAAAATCCTATACCTTAAGTAACATTTGTTCTAATGAATTGCTTTCTATGTATTAAGAGCCAATTTTCACAATGGGTCAACTTCAAATATGCTAGTTATGTAGTGCTTAGAAACCAACGTACTTTAAAAAGAATAAACGTGTTTTATTTTTGCAGATTTGGATTCTTAATCGTCGAAATAGTTGGTAATTAGTGTAGCCGCAATCTAGTAATTATGGTCCCAATGGCTTCAAGTCAAGAGAATAGTTTCCATTCCTGTTAACTTCACTTTTACATATATTTCCACAGTTTCACAACTATTTAAGATAATAGAAAACTCTTTGCGCAAAATAATGAAACATGTATATACAAAGATAATTTCTGTGAAGAAAAAAAATTGTTTATTTAATTTAATAGAAAGGTTGAAAAACTATGAATATTTCGAAATTGGAATTTTTACATCATTTTAAACTATGTAATTTTAAACGACAAAATCTAAATTGAGCCTAGTAGTTTTAAAATTTTACAATATTTTTAAATTTTATGACTAAGAATCTTTTAAACTTATTTCGCTTAATTTTTTTCTTTGCTCAATGTATTTGTTGAAAGATCTACTTTAAAATTCAAAAGTACCTGTAAAGGTAAATTTAAACTGTATATTTTTGATGACATATTTGCAGATTGCTCTTCAACGAACTCATAGCGCTTCAAATCATTGTAAGTAACAGTCAGATCTTCATGGTCCCATGATAAAACATCTTTACTTCGATATTGTCTGAAAAGAAAAGAAAAACTTTAAAATTCATTGAATTTTTTTCATAAAATCTTTCTCTTGATTTAAAACATTGCATATCTTAAACAATCTAATACTTGTAAATTTATGTTAAGTTCATTCCTTTAAAAATGGACCAAAATAAAGATAATTTGTGAAAAAATAAAAGATGAAAAAGAATAAAGTAATATTCTTTTAAATTTTTGAACCAATGCAACAATGAGAAGGTCATTTTCAAATTTGAATTAATTCCACAAAGTGCAGTTTCTTGAAATGGTGGCTATGTTCATAGCGTTCTATTACATTTCATTTATTATGCAATTTTCTTTAGTGTCAGTAGAAAAAAGTGAGAACTATGCAATTAAAATTCTAAAAATACATTAACTTTAAAAAAAAATTAAATAATTTCGTTTTAAACTTCGCAAATTTCAAGAAATTTTACAAATAAATCTTTCACAAAGCTAATTTTTTTCACACAATGATTACATATTGTAGCATAAGAAAATAAAAATTGTAAAAAAGAAGATTGTAGAGAAGTGTCAAGTGTGTTAAATTTTTCATTATCTTTCTCAATTCAGCTGCTTCGGACAATTTTGAAGTTACTGTCGCAACTCCTTAACTAAGAGTTCGATATCGGGAACTTTAGTTATATGTAAATATCTAAATTAAAAATTATATTCTTAAAACAATGTACCAATAACTTAACCAATTGCGTAATAGGCTTGCTTTTGGTCTAATTCGATGCACCGTAAAAAACACGTCGGCAAAAATATTCGACTTACCTAGATATCATACAATAAAAGATAGACTTTATTTTCATTATATATACTAAAACCTTTAAAACCTCTAAACTATTTATCCCATCTACTTAGTTTTTATCTATAAGCATTCACATGAAATATTTCTTGTTCAGATATTTTATGGCAATCGTCTTATTTTTCGGGTTTAGGGCTATCTGTGGTAAACTCCGAAGCCCTGTAATTTTAAACCAAACTCAGAGGACAAAGAATGTTCTGGAATAAGCATTGGGAACCACTGGAATCTGAAGGACTTTTTTGGAACTAACTAGCATTTGCGTTACAAGGGGAGAAGACCTCCCACAGTTAGCCAGATGGAAAGGGTATTCGCACCCATGCTGTATACACCACTGAGGACGTTTGCACTGTGGTGGGTGCGATTTATATCAATCAATCATCTATGGGATTCGAAGTAGACCCCCTTTAGCTCTAGTAAATTCAAGATGACGGCTAAGGCTCACTTTGGGAGAAGGAGTTAACTTCAGATTTCCATCTTAGGCTCCAACCGTAACTCTTGAAATTACTTTCCGCCTTTCACTATGTACTTTCGCATTGAGCTATTTCTTGCGACATGGGAATCTTCCAAAATGTTACTCTTGTAATAATACTTTCAATTTTTTTTCAGACAACTGAAGTATTTTTGAAGTTGTCCATAGTTATCAATAATGAAGAAAAGTAAAATTAGGCATGCACATTTACTTTGTCCCTCTGCTTTGTTAAAATATATTTTAATAAAATTTAATATTTAGCAAGATTGTATTAGAATTTGCGAAGAAAATCATTATTGAAGGTGAATACCACTATGGAAGGAATTTGATAAACTAAATGTGCATTTTATGAGTAAACTAATTTTATCAAAAAATACCGCAATACTCCTTGGAGGTAATATTCAAAATTTAATGTTGTGTACTTGGACTGTAAAAGGAGTGCTTACGGATAATGGATTTGCTTTTCCTTCAACGTTATTTAGATGACTTTTTAGCTAAGAATTCTTTAAAAAAAATGTAAGTTGTTACACCGGGTCACTGAAGTACATTTTGCAATTTTTACCCTTTCCCTATTTGAAGCTCGCCGCTTGAAATTCTTAGTCTAACAGTAGCCTTTTGCACCTATTTGTCGGCTTCTTTGATCGGCACGTGGAATTTTGTATCTGCTTTGGTTTAGGTGTAACTCGCTTCTTCTCAGACCCTTCCAAAAATAAAAATCTACTAAAAAAATTAGTGGCGTGAAAATTAGTTCACTTAGAACGTTAATTTTTGAGGAAGAAATAAACCCTGGTATAAATGCTGAGACATCTTCTCGATCAACACGTTTCACAAAAGGATCAGTTTCACACATAGATAAATTTCAATTCTTCATCTTTTTTTCCTACGCTGCGGACGAAGCTAAGCCATGACGTATTGACGCAGAGGAAGTGTCATTTTCTGACGCACCATTTCATATGGATTCACAGGCCTTTCAGTTTTCAGAATGTAATGCCCTGCCTGTAGTGGTTTTTCAATTGAATATTTTTCTTTAAGAGAAACAGCTCCCTTCTCATTTTTGAGTTAGTAATCCAGTCTTCACCAGACACCTACAATGCCAATTACTTCTCGTCATTCTTTATTTCATTTATAGTCGTCTCCCACCAGTATGACTAATAATTGCCAATAAAAAAAAAGGGGTTGAAAGCTTTTCCATGTTTTTAATATTTTTTTCTGCCGCAGTTTATTTCTCAATATATATACACTATGAACAATCCGCTATTCTAATCCACTCAATCTTTAAAAAAAAAAAAAAAAAAAAAAAAAAAAAAAAAAAAAAAAAAAAAAAAAANAAAAAAAAAAAAAAAAAAAAAAAAAAAAAAAGAAAAGAGAGAGAGAGAGAGTAAGCTCAATAAACAAGTTATTTTACTGGGTTTTTCATTGTGATAATTTCCTTGGACTATTTGGCAGCGAAAAATATCTGGTTACTTTTCAGCAAACACACACAGATTTTTCCTTTTATAGCCGTCGTTGAACAGCCAACCTAATTTTTTGGGCTTACTACTATTAATGTTCACCTCCTTTGCTTTGTAATTTTGAACCCAATCCAGAAGAAAAAGGAACTCCTAGATCAAGTAGTGGGAGAAATTTGCCTTCGTGGAGGACTTTTTGATGGAACTAAACCCATTTGCGTGAAATAGAGATTAAAACCACGAAAACCTCTCACGGTTAGACTGACGACAAGGGGGCTAATCCATGATCAGCCTATCGCTGAGGATGTTTATGTCAGCACTGTGGTCTGTGCAAGCCAGAAGCGGAATTCGTATTGACCAGTCATCGCTGGGATTCGAGCCCGGGTTACCTCAATTGAAGGCTAATGTTCAATCCCCTGAACCATCACGGATCAAACACCCACAAATTGTATTAATTTATGCTATTTTTTCTGAAGATGTTTTTTATATTCTTGAACATTCTTTAATGCATGTGTTACAAAAACAACGCTAACGTACTCCATTTTGGATCAACGTGTCACAAACTGTGCTTAATGTATGTATTTATTAACCAGTTAATTTTCAAAAATAACTTCGGTTTTACCTTTTTTTAAACAAAATTTTCCATCTACCAAAATTAATATTTATTTACTATTTAATTTTTAATAATAAGTAAATAAAAATATGAAAATAAATTAGGAAAAATTTAATGAAGTTTTAATTTGTGAATAATTTATTAACAAATATTAATATTTTATTCTTTTTATGGTACAGATACGCATTTAAATAAAAAAAAATTTCAATGAAAGGAATAAAATTTGCTTCGCGATTTTTACCAGCATTTTGCTATTTTCAAATTTTATTTTAGATATTTTTTTTCTTAATTTGATTTTGTTAAACTGATTATATTAAGGTTGATCTTTGCTCAGATTTAACTGCATTATTTCCGTTTTCCATAATGATTTTCAAATTTATGTCCTTCATACGTGCATTTCATTAATTAATCTACTGTCTGTGAATAAATTACTTTAATAGTGAGTTAAATGCCATTAAAATATTAAATCTAACATTTGACTTGCTAATTATGAAAATTTTCTTCACAAAACAAGTCTCATTATTAAGAGGCATAAATCAAGTAATTTCTAAGAATAACAAAATTGAAAAAACGCCTCTGGTACAAGATAGTGACAACGATTTCTTTCCCTTTTTATTATTTTGAATGAAATATTTGATTTGCCAAATGTATTACAATTAGCATACATTATTCGTAGATCCATTAATTTAATTTATAATCTCAGTACTATTCTCAAGGCTAAGCAAAGTGTCTCAAATCAATAAAACTATCTTTAAAAAATATTTAAATAAATATCAATTATGTCTATTTTACTAAATATGTTTTAACGTGAAGTTTTAAATGATACTAATGAAGACAGAAACTGGATAATAGTGATACATATGTTTTATTTACATTTATTTTTGCAACTTCTTCATGAATTCTTTCTGAGTTATGGCATTTTAACAGTTTATACTTTTTAATTCTCCATTTGAAAACGATTCAAGATAAGAAAATTTATTGATACATAAAATTATTTGTCAGAAATGGTTGTCAATGTCTCCCCAAAAAAATAAATTTAGGCATTGCTCTCAAAAATTTTTCAATTACGGCAGAAATGACCAAAATAATTTACAAGTGTAGAATTTAGAAAAACTAAGAATTCAAAATGCATATTTAATACTTTTTCTCGCTAAATGTAATTTTCGAAAATATTCAATGAGGAATAACACTTGGAAAAACTAACAATGTAAAATATATAGCCTAACATTTTTGCATGCACATTCTACTCGTAAAATTATTGTTCAATTATTTACTAAAATTTTAAGTATTGGTTAATTGGAGGATCTATTTAGCAAAAATTTAGAGTGTTATAAATCAAGGCTGGATTTATTTATAAAACTGAAGAAATTTTGCTAAATTTAATGCATTGAATTTTGTTTCAAGCTCTTATATTTTAATGACTGATATTTGAGTGAATAGAAAATGTTTTTTTTTAATGTTCCAGAACATTTAGTTTTGGAAGAAAATTAGTAAAGACATTTACAAAAATCTGGAAGAATCTGTTACTAAAATCTGGCATTTGGAAGACATTTACTAAAATCTATAGTTTATTATTTTTCCACAAGAGAATTTCTCAAGTGCATTTAATGTTTTATTCAGGCAAAACAATTTAATGACATAGATTATATGTAGCAAGAGCCAGTAAAATGTTATTTTAGAAACTGTTAAAAACAAAAAGTTTAAATTAAAATATTCAAAATTGTGTACCTGAATACAAATGGTCCAACTTCTTCGACTGATGGTAACTTGCCCTTGACAACTTCAGCTGGATTTGTAATGTTGAAAAGAACAACTTTGAAAGTGACAGGTATAGGAGTTTGTTTCCATTTTTCGTAAGTTTCTTTGCCTTCTTGAAGTACTAAGTTCTGAAAAAAAATTACTAAGTTAATCAGATTGTTCGAGATAATGTAAAATAGGATGCATAGGTAGTATAAGAACAAAAACTATAAAAAAAATTCCACCGATTTACGAGTATTCAAATGAAAGTTTTGAGACTGTGAATAAGGTGAAATATCATGAGTCATTTAACAAGCGCTTCATCACCTTTAAGAATTAGATTTATTCAAATTATTTTAATGATGGAAAAATGAGTCGTGGTGGCTCAGGGGATAGAGCGTTCCTTGCCATGAGGTTCGAATCTCAGCAACGGCTGTCCGATATGAATTTCGCCTCTGGCTAGCTCCAACCATAGTGCTGCTATAAAATATCAGCAGTGGTAGACATATGGATCAGAGTTTCCTAGACATCAGGTTAACAGTGAGAGGTTTTCTTGATTTTCCTCGCCTTGTAACGCAAATACGGGTTAGTTACATATAAAAGTCCTCGACGGAAAATTTCTCTCAATGCATAATCTAGGAGTTCCCTTGTCTTTTGGATTGGGTTCAAAATTACAAGGCTATGGATCTTACAAAATAAAACCAAGTGATTTTTCTGATAAAATTTTGTATTCAAGGATTTAGGCTCTTGACCTTTGTAATATGTAGCCGCAATTTTGAAAATATGGTCCAAATAGTTTAATCAGGGTTTGTTCTCCTTAACACGTTGAATGCCATAGGGGTCACCGGTGAAGCCAAGATTATTAGAAACACATAATTTGAATAAATTTTAAATTTTTTATATTGTCTTTACTAAAATGGTCTGAAGAAATTGGTGCAATACAGAACACACAAAAATAGTTTTATTTCTATACACGGAGATGCCAATTTGCTCCGGACAGCGAATAAATATTTTCAAGCGGGAGTTTTGTGATTCTTGGTTTAATAAATTCAATTTAGTAAATTGTTATCCACCACTATTTCTAAATAATTCGCATTCTTATATAATTCACCTCTTTTTTTTTCAGATATGTCATGCTAAACCTTTTAAAAAACTAGTATTTTTAAAAACTAGTTAAAACTAATATTTGCAAATTTATTTTCTAGTTTTTTACAGTTTGGCGAAACGGGCAGGGTATGTAAAATTAGTGTTGCATTCAACGCGTTAACGTGAATTTCAATTCGTGTATTTCACCATCTCTGAAACAGTTTACGCGAATTAAAAAAAGTTAAGTATACTAGTATATTAAAAGATAATTCCATGTGCAAAAAAGTTCGCTCGCACAAGATTTTCAACAATGAGATTCGAACAATTAGTAGCGTTTAAACCTTGTTCCTTTACTTTAATTACGTTAAAAGTAATTGCAAGGATTCATTACAACTGAATCACTACGCTACTTTTTTTCTTCAAAAAGTAGCTCATTTCACAATAAACTAACAAATAAAGTTATAACTGCAGTAGTTTCGTGACTTGCAGTTAGAGTTCCGTCGAGTGAATGTCATTTCATTCCTTGAAAGATTTAAAATTATTGGGACATAATTTTCGCTTACACTGTTCATATTGCGACAGTCTTTTATCTTTCACCGGTTATTTACTAAAAACGCCATTTGTTGAAAACATTTTTTGATTAAAAGCAAGAACTTTGAGGGGAACTTTCGTTCTTTAACCACAACTTTTGTTGTTACAAATTTTTAAAAACTGTCTAATTTCGGAGACCCTGCATTACTACCTTAAAATCCAATGAATTTTTTTTATAATAAACGGAGAAAATTTGACTAAAAAATCTAATCTCGAAAAAACTATTTTTTGTTTGATTTATATTTTAGGAATCATTTTAAAAATTCCAGCTAGAAAATTCTAGCAAACACTAAGGAGTAAACCTAAAATGTTTAGAAATTCATTCTGAAATCTTTGCTGCATCCGGTTTTCGCATTGAGCCCAAAACTACGTAATATATCATTTTTTTTGCTGCCTTAAAGCAATAAATGCCTTTTCGAGAAAATAAATTTTAATATTTGCAACTGTTTCGAGCATTGAAAACGATATATTATAAAACTGACCTCGGAACTTTAAAGGTATCTCTATGGACCTTGATAATTGCACACTAATTATAGCAGATGTGAATTGTGCTCGGCGATATCAACATTTTAAAAGCATGATTAAGATAAAGAAAACATAACAGGATAATTTTTTTTTTTTTGCATAGGTCAGTATTTTCACTGTCGAAATTTATCAATATTCATAATATCACATTAACATATAATTTTTGTGATATTATGGTGCTCAATAATTATGTAAATATAATAGTTCTTAATGAATATCATTACTTGCAAGGTTATAGTATTTCCGACTCATCGTTGCTGAACCTTTATATTATCGTTACCGCGACTTATCATTGTGATAACCGCGATATTATCGTTCTTAGCAATATTACCGTCAACGATAATATGATCCTTATCGATAACTGTAATTATCGTACACTCGATATTTCTGCTAAGATACATTCACGAGATATCATGAGAATGCTTTTTAAACTATAGATACCGTAATGATTAAAAATATTGAAATTTCACGAATAGCCGATCTATAACTTTAAACTTTTAATGTGATGTATTATGGTAGCAGAGTGTTCAACATTTAAATTAGAATAGAGTTATTTTGAAGTATCCGAATAAAATAAAATCCATCTACGGAAGCAATCTGAAGCAAATGAATTTGTAAAAATTTCAGTTTATGACAGTTAAACTTTTTGAATAACTAAAGAAAAAAACTTTTGCACGTATGTTTGCCAGTGATAGTACAGTACTGGACAGTTCTGTTTGTTCACGAGATATATTTTTAATAATAAGAGCTAATTTTATGTTCTAATTGAATTTTTATTACTTAAACTAATTTATAATATTTTTCCCAATATTATAAAAAAATTTGATGTATTCTTGTTAAGATGTTGTAACCAGGTAGCGCACATTAGAGTTTCATAAATAGTTATTCCTCTTTAAAAGTTAACGTTAAATTATATTTCAACACACCCCGTTAAATTTTATTAAATTACACAGCAACCTAAACTAGTTAACTTGTAACAAGCTTTTTTTCTTTTAATTTGTGACTGCTTCCCTATAGACCTATAATATTTAGATGCGCAAAGTAAGATCTGAAAGATATTACATTATGGAATGAGCTAATTTGAAGCAAAAGCTCCGAGATTGCTGAATTCCAAGTTCTTTGGATTGAACCGATTTTCTTCATATTTGTATTTATTCAGTTTTATTTACATATTTCCTTTGTTATAATCATGATGATACTTAAAAACATAATTTATATAACATGGATCAATTTGTTATTACCTTTACTTTTATTTAATCTAATGAGGGTTTTTTTTCCTAAGAAATAATTTTACGATTCCTTATGCATATCGTTGCAGTTGATACAGTGCCCTAAATTACACATTTAAAGAAATTTATAACAGAAAACAGTTAAGGTGAGGAAAAATAATAGTCTTGCATCAAATTTCTGCTACAAATCTTTGTTTTCATTAAAAAAATTTTCAAAAGACTAAGTCTTCGTAATCGTATTTTTCCCATTACTTTTTGATGCACAGAAATTTTGTTTTTGGCTTACAATTTGTGTTTATGTTTGTCTAATTTTATGTTACTATCAGTTTAATGTAGACCACCTTGTAATTTGTGAACAATGGGAACAATAATTACATATTGTCATCTGAAGAAATCAGCCAAAAAACTTACAATAGATGAATCACATTTTTTTTTAAACTGATAATCAGTCAAATCATTCAAAATACTTAGATCGTAAAAACACGACAAGTGACTTTCGCCCATTAAATGTTTCAAATTACACCCAACAGTGATGTGAATTCAATGACACGTGAAAAAAAATAAAGAAAAAGAAGCAAGATTTATTCATGACATGACAGAAAATTAAACTATTAGATATAATTTCCTTTACAAACAAGGAAATTATATGAATAAATATCGCAATTGTCAACTCCTTTGAAGCATCCTTCAAAAGTATTAACGTACAAAATGCAATATTAAACTGGACATTGTAAATCAATTTATGCTGATATTTAAGTTAAATAGCATTGTCTATAGGGAAACGTAAACTGATTTATGTTAGAAATTAATCTAGAACGCGCATATTTAGACACATTAATTGGATACAAGATGTCTAATTATTTTTTTAATAATCTCTTAATTTCAAAAAGAGTGATCAGAAAATATCTATTAACAAACGATCGTAGAGTTCTTTCAAAACTTTGTTGAAAGGTTCTATTTTACAGAAATTGTGAAAATCTACTCATAATTTTGTGCATTTTTAAAAATTGTATTCTGTTGTAATAATTTTGTTGAGGAAAAAAAAAGATTTCAAATTTTGTGAAAGACTGTTTGTAAATTTGTAAACAATCTCGTCAAAATTTTTAGAAATTAAAATCAGATTAGAATCGGAATGCGGAACCTGTTTAAAAGAGTGCGAACATAAGGTTATATTTTTTTTTTCAAAAAGTAACACTATTTCAAGAGAGTTGTAAAATTATGAATGACTTCATCAATTCAAATTTCTAAAAAGAATTGCGGACAGTCCATTTTTAAAATGAAAAATATTGTGTAGGAGCTATTTTGTAAAGTGCCCGCTTTTACTAATAGTAAAAATTTGTACACTTAATTTGTAAAGGGTCCGTTAACGGACCCATACTCTTAAAATCCATTTTTGTGAGCATTTTAAAATGTATACTAACTTCGTAGTCTCTAATCAAAAAGATTGTCTAAACCAGGTTTATATTCAATACTTTACTTGGGTCAGAGTAACCTGAAAAATATGCGTTGAGTTTCCATTAAGACATAATAATTTGGGCTATATTATATAGTTTTCCAATTAAATTTCTCGAAAATTATTTGTTTTTATCTAGTACGACTGCTTTTGAAAAGGAGTACTTTGCCCTATAAGTTTAAATTCATAGAACAGAGCTTTCTGCTTCTGCCCGTGCATTGAAGGAACTATTTTTCAAGACACTAACTTTTTTCCAAAGCAACGC